ATATCATTATTTTCAATTTTTATTCAACATGTATTTTAATGACTTCAGTATGAATGGAATGTCCCTTGGAGTTGTGGTCGTTGATGAGGAATTGGTCATTGAACGGTGTGGATACTGTTTATTCCCATATTATATTATTGTTTTGGGATATTCAGGTTTGATTTTTGTTTGCCAGATTTACACTTTAGAGTTTGCTTTTCCCACTAGGTTGCTTTACACTTTCTTCTTTTCTCATTTTTGTTTATATTTAGTAAGGATATGATACGCAGGTCTCTCCTTCTGTGTGATCAAATGTCCAGAAGATAATTCAACTACATGAAGAACATTTCGGTGACATGATGCACAGTGGAAGATTTTCCACACATTTATATTTTCTTTTAAAAGAGCTTTAATTCCGTTATATACTCAGATCAAGGCCAGTTTAGCATACATCTCGCTCTCAAAAATCGCTGTGCAATAATGGATTTCAAAGAAATGTTTGACGTTTTCAATAATCTTTTTTCTTTTTAATGAAATGTAGTTATTTATCCTACAAATCAATCGATGTCATACACAAAATGCATTTAAGTGGTATAAAGTACAGAAGCAGAGTAAAAATATGTATTTTAGAATATCACCTTGTGTTACCCCATTGTAGCGCCTCTTGCCCATGTTTCTATCAATATGAAATATGATATCATACACCAAATATGCATTTATGTCAAATTATGTGGTTTAAAATACAGAAAAATATATAACATTGTCCTTAGAATACCACCTTGTGTAACCCCACTTTACTGCCTTTTGCCCCTGTTTCTATCAATATATCGATATTTTAAAGATCATTTGATACCATACACGAAATATGCACTTATGTGGTAAAAGAAACATAGTGAAATGTTGCATTCAGAATGCCACCTTGTCTAACCCCATTTTAGTGCATTTTGCCCCTGTTCATATCAATATAAAAGGTAGCATGTAGCCTGTAACATGTGTAAAAGTTTCAAGAAAATCAGTAAAGTGGTTTTCCTGGAATCACGATGACAAGATTTATCCAAGAAACTTCCAAGATGGCCACCAGAATGCAAGATGGCCGCCGAAAGGTTAATTAGCTCTAGAACTCCTTACCATGTAATATGTGTGGAAATTTGATGTAAATCCGTTTGGTTTTCCTGAAATCGTGATTACAAGATTTATCTTAAAACTTCCAAGATGGCTGCCAGAATGCAAGATGGCCACCGAAAAAATAATCAGGTCTAGGACTTTTTACCATGTAACATGTGTGAACATTTGAAGTACATCTGTTATGTGGTTTTTGTGAAATCGCGATGACAATATTTATCTAAAAATAATTCCAAGATGGCTGCCAGAATGCAAGATGACCGCCGCAAAGTGAATCAGCTCTAGAACTTCTTACCATGTAACATGTGTGAAAATTTGAAGTAAATCCGTCTGATGGTTTACCAGGAATCGTGATGACAAGAAAGTGAGACTTCAGAATGCCACCTTGTCTAACCCCGTTTTGGTGCCTTTTGCCCCTGTTTCTATCAATAGAAGAGGTGTTTTCTTTAAGAGGGAAGTCTGTTCTTTAAAACGGTACAATCATTTTATGTGGGAAAGTACCGGACAACGAAACTTTTTTTCAGAGGGTCCAGATCAGGGACTATATTGCTTGTCCCCTTCGCCTTCAAAACCTTACACAATTTAGAAAATTTTAAAAGCGTCGGTATATGAAAATTCGAACTGTAGCCGTTTCGCAATTGTGACGTCATAAATGGATATACTCCATTAAACAAAATGTGAAATTTTAGTGGGCTTCTGATTATCATTTCAAAAGTATCCCAATTTCAACGAACCGTGTAACTTAATGTTACGTCCTACAGCGTGTTTGACGATGCCGGGGTATATTCAACTTTAAAATTATGGTAGATCACATAACATTTTTCAAGGAAAAATAATTTTACTGAAATACGAATAAAAAACACTTCAAAATGATATATAAAGCATATAGATAGTTTTTTCAATAAGACAGAGATTAACGCTTAAAGCTGACATTACCTCGTAATTCCCGAATTGTCCGTGCCTGTCATATGAACCTATTTACTCAAAAGAGGATCTTCTTTTTCTAATTTTTATTGCATGAAAAGATCATTCAACAAGGGGCCTAAAACATCTTCAAAAAATAGAATGTATTGAAAGTCTAGTTTTGAAGAGATGTTTAAATTGAGAAAAACAAGATCCTCATTTTAGAAAATAAGCCTTACATTTTTTAAAAGTGCCAAGGTGGAGCCCTAATCGACAATTTTTTAGAGAGTTGGATTGATATTTTACTATCATGTGGACTTCACTTGAAAGAAAACATATTGACGTGTCGCAAAAAGGTGGCGCATTTGTTTTTTAAGGGTATCGCGTGAATGTAACTTTGATTCCCCGGATTATAAGATAATATTCTAATTAACGTTATATATCATTTTAAAGCTGTTTCGATGAAGTTTTTAAATCAACTACACTCCGTTCACGATTCTTGCGCGTTCTTTTTAAAAAAAAGCGTTTTTTACCAAAACACCTGGCAAATATCCCCTGTTGACATGTTACATTTTGAATTATTTTTCGTCTTTAAACGTTCATAACTCAAACAATATATGACTATTATACTTATTTTTCGTCTTGATAAAGGTAGATGGACGTTTTATTTCAAAGGATGAATTTTAGTAAGCGTCCCATATTGTGACGTCATAGAGTTTGAAAAATAGAATCTGTTGACAGCGACCTTTTTTGCTCATTTTTTGTTACCCTCAGCTTTTCAGGTGTACATTAAACAAAAAATACGAGATCAATTTTTAATAAATAATACATGATTATTTTGCTCCTAAACTCTATTTTATTAATAAATAGTTGATTTTGTTCGCAAAAGTATGTGTTTTCTGTTGTATGTGGAAAAGTGGAGGACGAAAGGTTTTCAAAATTCATTAAAATAGGGCTAATTTACGCCATTCGCCTATTTTCAAGCACAGCAACACGTATATTTATTTCACCTAAAATATCAATTGATTCGTGTTTTATGATGCTCCTATCCCATGGTTAATACATGTACGGTATCAGAGTTATTCGACCTAAACATTTTGAGATATAGAGGCAGATGTGGAGGACGAAAGGATTTCCATATGTGTACATTTTTCTCAAAAACGTCACATTCTATCATGTTAAAAGCGAGGATCCTCTGGATTACGCCACAAAATGTGTAACAATGCGTGCGCGACCTTTTTGCGACACGTCATTGTTTTAATAAAAACCACTGTATTTATGGCCAGAAAAAACTCACGGTGAAAGGTATGACTGTCTAAAATCCCTTGCCATACTGCAAAAAATCCTGGAAGAAAATTAGGGGCCAAAGGTCCATGATATGTGTAGTATGGCAAGTGATTTTAAACGGTCATATCCTTCACCATGAGTACTTTCTAAATTTCTATCCATAAATACCGTTTTTATTAAAACAATATGTTTTCTTAAAGGTGAAGTCCCCATGATAGTAAAATATCAATCCGACGGCAACTCTCTGAAAAACTATGGATAAGGACCCCACCACCTTGGCACTTTTTAAAAAATGTTAGGCTTATTTTTTAAAAAGAGAATCTTGCTTTTCTCAACTTAAACAAAACAAACGTTTCTTCTACACTATATTAACAACTTCAACTTCAATAATGGGTATTGAAATGGCGATCAAGTTAAAAACTACACTTCCCATGTTATTTTCCCATAGGGAAAACTCATGCTATCCATTGTTTTCAGTTTAATTTGGTCATCGAAAATTGATATCTTCAAAACTAGACTTTCAATGCTATTCTATTTTTGAAGATGTGTTAGACCCCTTGTTGAATCACCTTTTTATGCAATAAAAAAAGAAAGATGAAGATCCTCTTTTGACTAAATAGGTTCAACATTTTCGAAAAATTGTTGACATGGGGTACCTCATAAATTGTTCGATTGATATTTTTATCATCATGGGGACTTCACTTCAACATATACAAATAAAAAACATTGTATTTATCCCCAGAAAGTACTCATGGTGAAAGATACGACCATCTAAAATCACTTGCCATACTGCACATGGACCTAAAATAATGTCCAGTAATGCTCATTTTTTAAATGCCTATTATTTGGTTGATCTAGAAGGACCAAAACTCAGCCAAATGGCTTGTAAAACAACAGCTTGACAGGGACGTACCCGGGGGGACGTAACCAGGATTAGTAGTACTAGTGATAGTACAGTACTAGGGGAGTATCTTTAATGTTCCTCATAAGTAATAGCTATTGTCTTCAAAAGCTATCAGCAGCATCGATAATAAGCTCCAAACATGGATAACTTGAAGTCAACATTTGAAGTAACTCACTGAGTATAGATAAGTAGTGTTTAATTTGAAATAATTAAAATGCAAAATAACGAGTCAGTGTTGAGTTGATCCATTTTGTTACATTTGTTAAGCTGAGTGTAAAAAATACTGTTAAGCCCAAGTACAATATTTATCGAGTTAATCCTTATCACGATGAAATTATTTTGCTCCCACGGCATTGGCCATAAGTTTTTTTATCATCGTTTAAAGACTTAACTGAAAGTATGACATTGATTATAATTGTGCGTGGTTCATTTTGTCTGCATAAAGAGCTTTAGGTAGTGGCCCAGAAAAAATGTTTGAGCCTAAGAATTTTTCAAGGCCTCAATTAGTGATCCTTTTTGGCATTGACTGGGCCTTTTAAGGCCTTATTTTACTGGCCCAATTATCAGGATAATGGTTACTGTAGGGGCCCAAAATTTTTCATCAGACAGTTGAAATCCCGGCACCCCCCCCCCAAATCCAGATTCTGGGATTCTGAAACAACCAATCTCCTCGCATCCCCTCCCCCTGGCTACAAGCCTGGACATAGGGCCAAAAACATGTATAAAGTGATACCCGTCTAGCCAATTCCCGGGCTCATATTAATTCCACTGTCAGAGGTGCGAAACGCGCGTCAAAAGTAAGAACGGATTTCTGATCTAATTTTCTACCGTTCGCATTACTAAAGTATTTTGCAGATCATGTGACTTGTTCAAAATGGCAGACGAACCCTTGCTCAGGGATCGCCCAGGAAATCATCGATTTGGCTCTATAGATCCAGATTCTGCACACGTACAGAACATGACAAGAAAGGTAATATATACATTTATTTTATCAGTGGTACATATAAGTATTTAACTGAGATGACAAAGAACTTGGCGGATTTTCCCATAACTTGAAATTTTCGCAGGAGATTTCTCAAAGATGAGAGTAACCTCTGTCACGTTGGATGCCTTTGGATAGCATAACTAATATACATGTACAGAGGATACATGTAAAGCCCTGTATACATAGTTAATAGCGTTTCAATTGTCTCGATCGTTTCAATCAATTTTAACATGCTTGTATCATTTCCTACTGTACGTTTCAATGCGTCATTTTGAGCATTTTAATCCATTTGCCTTTGAAATTAATTTAAAGTTTCACTGTTTGCGCCTGTTTCGCCGTTTCAAGCGTTTCAAGTATCTCAATCATACGACCAATGCATGAAGGGGCGAAATGATTGAAAAGAAAAAAGAAATGCACATTTTTCGTTTCAAGCATTTCATCGGGGCTTTTCAACCATTTCAATCAATACGTCTCGAAAAATAAAATTACTGTTTCGCTGCTTTCACCTGTTTTGCCGTTTCAAGCATTTCAATCAATTCGCCTACATGTAAGCTGTTTTCACATTCTCTTTCATTTCAATCAATTCGGCCTTTTTGCCCCCCTTTCAAGCATTTCACCTGCCAGTGTATGCACCCCTTAAGAGGGGATTTGCAGTTAATATATGAGCCAGACCACAGGAAAAGTACCCTGCGCGCAGAGTCTAGTTAAACTACACTCTGCCTAGTAGAGACTACATGTATGTTACAGTTTAGTAGCCCCGCCCCCGAGACGGGTACCGGTGACAGTTTGGGTATTAAATCACTTCTGACCTACGCGCTGACCTTTCTTCCACCAATCAGCGAGCTTGAAGAAACATACGCCAAAAGCGTGCTAATTAAATATGTGCATGTCATTGGTCAATCCCGGGCTCAACGATCGTGTCAGAAGGAATGACCATATATAGAACGTCGGTCAAATTTGGCCGACGAACACTAATTGGCGCGGTGAGTTCACAGGTTTATTTTAGTTTGAAAGAGTGAAGACGAAGCTCTCTTTAAAGAAGTGAAGTCAAACGAATGCAAAGGGTACAGGAAAAGGGGTCTTATCAAAGATTTTTTCAATATTCTAATTTTTTGTTTATCTTAAAAAGCACAAAGAAACCTTTCAAATGAGCCATGGCTTATGTCCTAACAATTTTTCCTTGCATATATAGACCAAAAAGTCGGATCTGAATTTAGCACATTTTCCTCTAAATCGTGGGCACATTTTTGGCTCTGTAGCACAATTCTAATTTTTATTATAAGACCGGTTTTCCTATGGCTAGGCTCATATATCACCGGCTGGGGCAGAATCTTTTTCCTTAATCATAATTTGCGCCCACCTCCCTTATTTCTTTCTGGATCCAACAGTGCATATGCCCAAATATTAATAAGTTGCAAATACTGTAGCATCTCCTAATGCAGGCAGGGAATAACCCCAGGGTTCAAAGAAGATATATGTCCAACATGTAAATCTGTTGTGTTTTGAGATTAGACACATCATCCCGATTGGTCAAATCATGGGATTTCAATTAGAAGGGTATGCAACTCTGTGTAATAAACATGAGACCTTCAAAATGAGCAATGCCATGTTTCCCTTTTTATGGTAATATTTCAAAAAGTATTAGATAAATATATATGTTTAGTATTATTTTGAATAAAAATCAATTTTCAATATGATTAAAGCATGAAATATGTTCAATCTCATCTGAGATCTCATGTAAAAGTAGACAAAAAAGACCAATAAGAAAAAGGTCTCAAGATGTTCTCCTGGAGTATTGCATTGTGGGTAATTATTCAAGAACACATTCCAATAAAAACATAATTTGTGGGAGAATACTCACTTTCTTTATTGCCATAATTATATTTTTTAGTTATTTCTTTAAATCATCCATAAAAAGTACAAAATAAGATTTTCTTGGAATGTGTACATTCTTTAATTTTGAAAACCCAAAGGCAATGCTTATGTCTGAAATATGGGAAGTCGCCAACCCTTCTAGTTGAAAGTCCATGGTCAAATCAACAGACAAACAATGGTGTTTTCAAAATTTTCGAAACACGCTTCGAATTATATTATGTTAATTTCCGGCATTCTGATTAATATGATAGCTTCTTATTTTAGATCAAGATTAAGCACTGGTGCTTGCCCCCTCCTCTCCCTATGGGAGTTTATCACTCTTCTGAAAAATTGCTTTACTGTACCATCCCATGTTATTTTTGCGAGGTCTGTGGTCAGTGGACTGCTTATTTATTAGGTTTTATTGACAAAAAACAATTGAAGTTGACTGTACATGTAGGTTACTAATAGAAGACTGAAAGAATAAGTGAGGAAATACACAGATGTCTTATACCAGTAATTTATTTTGTACCACAAATAACATGTGCAAGTGTTGCAATTTCTTCATAGAAATTTATCTAAACTCTTTGTTGTTTTGCAGAATTTCACAAAGAGTCTTCTGTTCTCAATCTTTGCTTGTGTCATTGGATCCTCATACCAGTTTGGATTCAACACGGGTGTTTTGAATGCGCCACAAAAGGTAGGTGCATAAATGTACATGTATAGTGTACAGTAAACCTTCATTTTATTTTTTTGAAGCCTACATGTATAGGTGCATTTTGTATAATATTTTTCCAAATCTTCAGATTTTGAAATATTCTAATTTTGAAGTGCATGTATTTCATTTACCTGGCAAATACCTTAATCTGAAAAATTATTTGACTATCAGCTCGTTAGGTGTTTCTCTTCAATATTTTTCAAACTTCTGGAAAGACTGTTTTTGAATAGTTAAAATGAATGAGATTATTTCTGGATCATATGTCTGATATACTCTCATCACCATCAACCATTATTCAAGAGCCATTCAAAATTGTATAAAGTAATGGCTGTTTAACCTAACATTGCATGCAGTCAGTGTTCAGGGTTTGGTGCCTGTAACAAATTCTTACAACTTCCAATAACTGGTGCCTGGTGGTGACATTTTGTCATGTTAATGCCTTGTTCTATACTGATGTTGGCATTTATGACAAAAAGACCAGATTATGAGTACTTTAATTCTATGAAATATTTCTTTGAATAGGTGATTGAGAAATTTATCAATGAGACATACACTAATCAAACTGGCCATGAAATTCAGGAATCTACCCTGACACTACTATGGTCAATTACAGTCTCCATCTACTGTATTGGAGGAATGATCGGAGGTTTTGCTGCTGGATATCTTTGCAATGGATTCGGAAGGTACTGTAGGCAGTACGGATAGACTCATTGATAGACATGCATGTACGTATTTAAAAGTAGTAATTAAGTGTCCATCCTTTTCAACATTCTCAACATTTATCAGGAATTTATTTTTTCAAGGAAACGGACGATGCTTGCAAACATTTTGCTGAACATTGTTGCTGGAGTAATGGCAGTGTTGTCTAAATATTTCGGCGGATATGAACTACTAATAGCAGGAAGATTTATGATGGGAATTAATTGTGGTGAGTTTTTTGATTATGTAGTTTACTATAAAACAAGTACTTTCTCGGTGCAGAACATTAGGACAAATTATTTTTAAAAATCACATGTCATTCTTGATACATGTATGGATTGGACGTAGTAACCTGTCAAGTTGAACACCTCTTAAAGTGGAACACCTCTCAGTGGAACACCATTTTAAGTGGACCTGTGGATTAATGTTCATAGAACCTCTATAACTAAAACACCCACTGAGTGGAACATTTTGAAAACAAAACCATTTAGATTTTTTAATGTATTGATCTTATTCAATATTGTTTAGATTCAAAGAGGAGATAGCTAAGAAGTCCTCCCATTATTTTGCACACATTCCAGATTTCTGCATGAAAAATTAAAATTATGTAACATATCATGGGCTTTCATGAACATATTCTACAATTTTCTACAATTTGAACAACTGAAATAGTTTGTGAATTTTAATTAGACTTATAACTCAGATATGCTATTCTGGGTAATCCTGCACTAAACGTCAAAATCTACAAATTTTGCAAAATCTGGGATTATTTAATGCTATGACAAAGAAAAATAATGTTGGAATGTGTACTTTTAGCCTGTGATAATGTATGTACATTGTACTTTCTTTCATAATTTTCTTGCTTCAAAATACAATTATCTCTGTAGGTATTAGTACAGGTGTTGCCCCTCTCTACCTGTCTGAAATAGCACCTACAAATCTACGAGGAACATCTGGTACAATCAACCAGTTTGCCATTGTGGTGGGCATTTTGGTTGCTCAAGTACTTGGTCTCAAGCAAATTCTTGGAACTTCTGATCTCTGGCCATATTTAGTAGGTGAGATATAAGCTGTTTTGCTTTGAGTTACAATTAAATGCTTTGATATTTCTAATTTCTAGGACCATCTTCGTTCACTCGGCTCCCGTCGGTCATCAATGAATGTGGCCACTATTATTTCATGCTTTCGAAGTCATACACTGCCAATAGATAGCTCTTGCTATCACTTTTTGAGGTTGACCAAAAGTGAGTTTTACCTTGATAAACTGAAAATTTAATGAAGGAAATTGAGCGTGCGAAGATTTTCTGGAGCATGACTCACAATAATCTCCTGTACAGAAGCTGTTATATGAGAGTCTCCTGATGAAGATGATTCCCTTCATTTGTGTCTCATTAAGGAGAAGTTTTATATAAATCGCATTACAATAACCCTCATATCAGTGTCTTCTGAAGGAGAAGTCTCATATAAAGCTAAAGGAGAACCATTTCATCAGTAGCTCTTAAAGGAGAAGGCTTGTATAAATCTCCTTACAATAACCCTCACATCAGTGTCTTCTAAAGGAGAAGTCTCATATAAAGCTAAAGTAGAACGATTTTATGAAGCCTTGTATAAATCTCCTTAAAATAACCATTATATCAGTTTCTTCTAAAGGAGAATCCTTGAGGGAGCCTCATATAAATCTCCAAAAGAAGAACCCATTATCAATATCTTCTAAAAGGAGAAGCTTCATATAAATCTCATTAAGAAAACCCCTCATATCAGTGTCTTCGCAAGAAGTCTCATAGAATGGGAGAAACCTTATACAGTAGAACCTGCAAAGTGGAACACCTCTGTAAGTGGAACACCTCGCAAGTGGAACACTTTTTCAAAGTCCCATTTTAAAAACCCATTGACTTAATGTTAATTGAACCTCTGTAAGTGGAACACCTCCAAACTTGAACAGTGAACACCCCATATTGAAAAATTAACCTGCTAAGTGGAACAGTCAATTTCCATAAATTTCAATATTGATACTTATGTAAACAGAATTAACCTCCTACAGTGATAACTGGGTATGAAAACAGGTAATAACGTGATAATTGGCAAATTAGGTTTTTTAATGGATTACCATTCAGCAAATTGGATGAACCTCCTGTAGAGGTCAACACATGATGCAACCACTAATTAATTTGATAATCAGCAAATTAGGATTTCATAAGATTATCATTCAGAAAATTGGATTAACCTCCTGTAGAGATGGACATGTGATGCTACCACTAATTTATACCCCTTGCTGTTTGTTTCAAACTTGATAAGTAAGATTAAGAATGTCAGTTAAAAACCAATTGAATTATTAGCAGTAGGAACAAGTCTTTAAAAGTTAATTGCCAAACATTTGTACCTAAGAATGTCAGAACATTTTTGACAGAATGAGGAGGATTAAGAATGTCAGATACCTTTTTAAGTAAACCAAATGGATTATTAATAGTATGTACCCAGGGGCGTTTCTGGGAATCAACAAGGGGGGGGGGGCAAATTTCAAGTCCGATAAAAAAAATATTCTGCATTTGCGTGGAAAACAATTTTGGGCCCCTAAAAGCAAAACTTGGGCCCAAAGTTTGAAAATTTAAGGCCCATTTTCTTCAAGATTTGGCCTAAGATTATAAAAAATCTTTATAAGACCCAGTAATGCCAAAAAGGCCCACTTATGGGGCCTTAGGGCCAATTTTTTCTGGGCCCATCCAAGGGGGAGGGTAGAAATCTGCCCCCCCCCCCCAGATTCGCCAGTGTATACCTGCCCTGCACTGCAATGAAGGGCGAAACATATTTCCAATGACACATATAAATCCTATATTTGATCTTGCATGTTTTTTAAATCCCCGCGAACCCAAAACCTCCGTAAGTGGAACACCTCCTAAGTGGAACGATTTTTGGCAGAACGGAGGGTGTTCCACTTACACAGGTTCTACTGTATTAATCTTCTTTGCTGGAGAAGCCTTTCATCAGTGGCATTGTCTTCGCAAGAAGTCTCATAGAATGGGAGAAACCTTATATTAATCTTCTTTGCTGGAGAAGCCTTTCATCAGTGGCACGAGTCTCTCCTGATGAAGGGGTCTGATAACAGTGTTCAGAAAGAAGTGTCCTAAAGCCTTCAAGATGAGATATTAAGAATGTTAATGTGGCCACTATTATTTCATGCTTTCGAAGTCATACACTGCCAATAGATAGCTCTTGCTATCACTTTTTGAGGTTGACCAAAAGTGAGTTGTACCTTGATAAACTGAAAATTTAATGAAGGAAATTGATTAATACAATGTATGAAGATATTTTATTTGTTCGTATTTGTTCAAAAATCAATTGAGTTACTATTTTCCAAGTAAATGAAGTAAGAAGTTGATTATGTTTTATTCCAGGAACTACCCTGATTCCTTCTGTTATACAACTCCTATGTCTTCCATGTTGTCCCGAAACTCCACAATATCTTATGGTTGCCAAGGGTGACAGGGCAGCTGCTGAAAAAGGTAAGCCCAATGTCATAGAAAATAACAGGAGAATACTGGAAATAACAGGGAAATACTGAAAATAACAGGGAAATACTGGAAATAACAGGGAAATACTGGAAATGACAGGGAAATACTGGAAATATCGGATCATTTTTGGAGTATGGATGATTAAGTGATGTATCATTGGCATAGAGAAAGCAAAGGGAATTTAAATCATCTGGCAAGTTGTTTATATAAATCAAAAATAGTAACGGTCCAAGAATTGAGCCCTGTGGGACACATGCATTTGACCAGGAAGTGAGAAATTAGATTGTATTCCATTTATTGTGACTTTAATTTTTCGATTTGATAGGTACATGGTAATAAGGTTAAGTAGTGACTTTGAAAGTCCATATCGTGATAATTTATGCAAAAGTAGATAATGGGGTATGGAATCAAATGCGGCTGTAAGGTAGAGGAAAATTGTACGGACATTATTTTCATTTTCAAGTTTATTGTTTATCTTACACTACGGGCAAATTATTGATATGACGCGCCAATTTCGTCTTATGCTTTTCACTCTAAAACCTACCGCTAGGTGTTCACGCGCTCCCGGTCTATACTTCTTGTAAAACCCGCTTTCTTGGTGAGCGAATTGAATTTTAAATTTCTTTTTTCTCTAAGCCATCTTTCTTGTAACTTGGAGAGACTTTGTGAAAATAACATCAGGGATTATTGATTAATTTATGATGTTTAATGACTTATTAATTGATAATGGTGGCATATTCCCACTTTACACCCAGTCCTTTCTGTATTGTTTTACTGTATTCTAATGATTTATTACCATGTACAGGGTGTCAAAAAACAACGGCACCCCCTCTACAGCAAAAAGTACTGAATGTTACATGATGTGTCATACCTCATTTTAAAGACAATTTAATTCTGGAGTTACCTGTGAAATTTTGATGTTAACAGCAATATTTGATTTTGAATTTAAATTAATTAAATTTCAAAATCCAATTCTGCTCAATTACGTTTGTATGTATTTATGTATGTATTACCTTTATTTCCTCCATAAATGAAGATTACAAGCATATTAATTTATAAACTCACAATCACATAAGTTGAACATATAAAATACATAATCAAGAATTATAAAACCTCATGAACACTAATTAATAATAATTATGTACAACCTTAAATCATTTATATGTGCACTATTGCGATTTACTAACTCTTTTTTAGAATTATACTTATTTTGTGAGCTTATTATCCCTTTAAAGATATTATATTTTACAGCAGACTACAATTATTGATCTCTTCAAAATACCTAATATACTCAAATTCAAGATATTTTATTGTGCAGTTTATCACAATTATTATTGTGTCATGATATATTGCAGATTCATGAATAATTCATTTGTTGTTTTTGTAAAAATAAAAGTATAAACTAGGTGATATTCTGCTTCCCTGATGACAACCCTAGTAGCATTTAAATTTTGCTTCTTTGTGTAATATTTTTGTGTTTGATTATTGTTTTAGCATTGATTTACCTATGTCAGACACATAATGTGCTGGAAGAACTAGACGTGTAATATGTTTGTGTCTGATTATTCGTTCTAGCATTGATATACCTACGTCAGACACATGATGTGCAAGAAGAACTTGATGTGTAATATTTTTGTGTTTGATTATTCGTTCTAGCATTGATCACACTACCCTACCACGTGACCACGTTTAAAAGGGAGACAGGGTACAGCTAAGTTGCAAATGGAGGACGTGGGTTTAATTCCATATTTCTGAACGTAAAATACATTTTACATTTATTTTTAGTGTTCTACCAGACATAGAATTGATTCATCAAGCAGTTTGTAGAATATTGTTGGCAAAAAATCACTATAGGCAAAGATAGATAATAGTGGGCGCAGTGAAGCAAAACTTAATGCAATACACGATACATTTCAGTAAATCTGTCAACGTACAGGGAGCATGTAAGTTTCCCTTCGAAAATGTTACATTGATATGTAACAAAACCCCAGTAAATTGTTATTTAAACTGCTTGGCATCGTGTTATATGTGGATACGTTTTCCAGTATGTTATTCAACTGTACTTTTGTGAATTAATTGTTTTTCTAAAATCTTAAGATGCAAAATCGTCGTCCCAGAAATGTATCTTTACTTTGCCGTAAGGCATAACATATTGTGAAACATTTTTCCTCTTATCACAAGGAGGATAGTGTTTGTTTCGAGGTGTCTTGTGATGAGCGTTTCATGATTAAATGCAAAATCACTGGAGCAGATACCATCCAAAAACATCTGACATTCAACACGTCATATAAGACTACATCGATCTGGTATTAGTTTTTTTACAATAATAGAGAAATACGACGTCATATCACCTCTACAGCAAATCGTGAAGAACAAAATGTCGTGGCATGATGGTATTTTGAACAAACTATTTTAAATGATCGGTTTTTGAGGACGGTAGTGAATTAGACCATTCAAGGGGTTATATAGAAAGATTCTTTACATGTAGTTCACGCAATTTTAATTATTCTGAATAGCGGATAGTCATTAATCCTGATAGCCAATAGTCATTTATCACTTACGTGTTTATATTTAATTTCGTTATTTTATTTCAATGTGATACCCTAGTAACACGTATAATCTAGCGTTCTTGTTAATTTAATGACTAAAATACATTTACGACCTGAAAGCCCGTGTCTAAATCTACTAAATAATGTTTACTTTATTTGGATTAAATAACAATTGATGACACCTCAAAGCATCAACAGGCGGCCTTTTTAGTATTATTTTCACTGTTTGCAACGTAAATATACATGAGATCGGGACATATTATGTCTGTATAATCAGCTTACTTTCTCGCTCCCTGTACTATTGAACAATTTACATTCCTTGTACCCTGTATTGATCAACTTTTGCAGTTGTGTACCGTGTACTATGACATATCAAATATTTTAAAATTTAAAACGATATTATTTACATTATTTCTTCAACTATCATATAACTTGGAACATGGACTTCACTATTGCACCACTAAAGTTCAGCGAATAGCAATATTGACTCACTCCGAGCACCAAACGTATTAACCTTTTCACTAAGCAGTCGATATACTCAAAAGCGACCTGATTGAAAGCCAAAAAATTCGCGCATGCGCTATCGAGGTAGGGTAGTGTGTTGATATACCTACATCAGACACATAATGTGAAAGAAGAACTTGATGTGTAATATTTTTACTGAGTATTTTGTGTTTGATTATTCGTTCTAGCATTGATATACCACGTCAGACACATGATGTACAAGAAGAACTTGATGTGTAATATTTTTGTGTTTGATTATTTGTTCTAGCTTTGATATACCTACGTCAGACACAGAATGTGCAAGAAGAACTTGATGTGTAATATTTTTGTGTTTGATTATTCGTTCTAGCATTGATATACCTACGTCAGACACATAATGTACAAGAAGAACTTGATGGGTAATATTTTTGTGTTTGATTATTCGTTCTAGCATTGATATACCTACGTCAGACACAAAATGTACAAGAAGAACTTGATGTGTAATATTTTTGTGTTTGATTATTCGTTCTAGCATTGATATACCTACGTCAGACACATAATGTGCAAGAAGAGCTAGATGTAATTGAAGAGGAATATGAAAAACTAAAGTCTGAAACAAAAGTAAGAATCAAATATTCAACCACAATTAGATTTAATGTCACCAAGAAGCGATAACATATCGTTTTATTTATATACATCTTTGAAAAAAGTGTTCAGCTCTGGTATCTAAACATCGGTTGCTTATGTCCTGTCAATGTTGTTTAACTTGTTTTGTGCCTATATTGCAAATCTATGTAAATTATTATAACATTTGTTTCCAATGAACTTTCAGCTTGGTATAAGGGACTTATTTAGGGTATCGTCTCTACGGCAACCACTATTAATCAGTGTTATGATGATGCTGTCACAGCAACTCTCAGGAATAAATGCGGTAAGGGTATACAGTTAATAAACATGTGTTGTTTACAATTGGTTTATGTGTGTATTGTATGCAACAAGTATTGTATACTGTATAACATTAGTTAACATGTACTGTATACAATTAGTATATGTCATTTATTGTATCCAATTGCTATATGTCATGTTTTGTATACAATTAGTGTCTATACTGTATACAATAAGTATATGTCATTTATTGTATACAAGTAGTGTCATGTACTGTATACAATTAGTATATGGCTTGTATTGTATACAATAAGTATACATGCATTATAAACAATTAGTATATATGTATTGTATACAATAAGTAAACATGTATTGTAAACAATAATATTCCATACTACTGTAATTGTAAACAATTAGTACACATGTATTGTATATAATTCGTATATGTCATGGATTGTATACAATTAGTACTTATGTATTGTAAACAATAAATAATATAAACATGTATTGTATATCTTACTCTGAACTAGTAGGTGATCTGAACAGGCATGGATGTTGCCTGAAAATTCTAGCACCAATGGTAATAAGTGCCTTGGGGAAGGAAAAGTTTCATACTAACTGGAGATACTAGATTTAGCCAACTTTATCAGTAAGAAATAGTCAACCTGTTGAAGAAAGCAAAGTACTATAATTTCAACCATTTATCTGACTATGACACATAGTACATGTTTATTTCATATGTATGTGTAACTGTAACAAATTAACTTGTTTTTACAATGTCACTATCAGAAGTTATGACATATTGTTAGAGTATCCAACTTTTTTTTGTGGATAGTGTTCAGCATTCAGCGGTTGGTGTTATGCAATTGATGGTTGGTGTTTGGCATCTACAATAATAAATAATTGTTAATTCCTTAAAATTTTAGAGATGATTATATGGGAAGTTTAGAACTGATTAGTCTTTATCCTTTGTGATTGTAATTATTGTAAATAGTTGGATCACTATTTTCATTTTTACATTTAAAGCAGATATGAAATGGTATTTTTTACCTAAAGGAATCAGTGTAATTTTTTGATAAATATATTTATGATAAATGTATGTTTTTTCATCAATATTGTGAAAATTACTTCATTCTGACGATCGTTAAAAATGCTTAATAAGCAATATTCGAATTGGTTGTGACGTTATTAGCCCCCACATGATCTCTCACTGGTCCCCACTTGGCCCGTTTTGGTCTATTAAATCATGACGTCATAATGTCAAGATGTTTTAAATTTGTTTACACAACAATCCTATGGTTGCCGTGACGTCGTGATTACCAAGGAACCAATAAACCAAAACTATATATTATGTATGACGTTACTAATCACGTGGGGGCCAATCTGATTGATCAGTTAATTTTATTAAGTTATTTATGACCATTAACAGTTATCTATCATTTCTTTTATAATGGCTAGAAGTTGAGAACACCTATTTCAGTTGCACTTTAACTATTCAGACAGTAAACTTTAACTGAGTAAATTATTATTTGTTTGAGATTATTTTGTACAAAAGTTGAAAGAGTTTGATTCATGCTTTGACATTCATTTAATTCTATGTAAGTTCATTTCTCTGGTTCACATATAAATGTATTAATGTATAAATGTATTCTTCAGAGAATATTTTTTTTAAATGACGAAAAAGACTTGGGGATACTTGAAAGCCTTTTGATCTAATAAAAAAATCTCTTAAGAAGTGAATAAAGTTGATTTCATACAATATTTGTCAAGATTTGAAAACCTTTTATCAGCAATGTCTTTTCAGACGCCTATATAATCAAAAGTTTCAAAACATTGTTTAATCAATCAAATATTTTTCTTTTTTTGCTTTGGGAGCAGACTGTTTTTTACTAGATCGGCATCAATCTGAATTTTTTCCCTTTAAAGGCCCTATGCAAAGTTTGTTCATCCACCTATTATTTTACATGAATTTAAAAAAATGTTTCAAACATTTTTCAAAAAGAATTTGTTAGTCTTATAAAAGGATAAAAGTTAAAGTTATTTTACATTATTTTCTCGTATAAAGCTCCTAAATATGCTTAAGTTTCAGACTAAATCAATGTTGTTGGCCATCTAAGTTGAAAATAATTATTTATCATGTTTTAAATATACATTTCAAAAGTTTTGTAAAAGTTGTCAGGAGTTCATATCGTACCTCTCCTGACAAACTAGTAGTGACTAAGTTCCTTGTTTAGCTCCAATTTGAGAGAAAATTCTATATCTAGGTCAAATCAAAGTTTTTTAAGTTTCTCAAAGTGAAACACTACACTTCCATTTTTGCCTGGAAAGACAAGTCTCGGTTTGGAGAATGAAGTTCATCAGTCTACTGGGCTGATAATTAACTACTGGGCTTTTTTCATGATAAATATAGAAATAACACCTAAATTAAATTATGGATATTCAAAAGAGGACATTTAAATTTTTAGAGAATGAATAGTCCAAAGCAGGCGTATCGTGCAGCAGACTGATGAATCGAATTCCTAAATTGTTCAAGGTCATTTACTCGCTTCAAATTGCATTAATCTGACCTTTGATCTTTGATTTGACCTTTTTAAGTTCAAAAATATCTTCTTGCCTCTGTAAGATTGCTTGTAATTTTGATAGCTACTCATTACATGTTTACTCAAGAAAGATAAAATGTTGTAACATTCGATCCTCTCTTCCAGGTTGTATATTACTCAACTAGTATTTTTGAGAGAGCTGGTCTGTCTATAGAAAATGCTCAATACGCCACTCTGGGAACCTCTGTTGTAAATGTTGTCATGACATTCGTTTCTGCAGTACTGATAGACCACTTAGGACGACGGACACTTCACTTACATGGTCTTGGGGGAATGCTTATCTGTACCTGCATCATCTCAGTTGGACTTTTATGGCAGGTGAGGATATACTATGAATTCTAACATAATATGTGAGGTCACATGTCAGTGGACAGGATATTCCCTCGGGGAAAATATATAGTTTGCCCTATTGCCCTCAATGGCAGTCACTATTTGTATACTGTTGACCGCTACTAGATACTGTTGACCGCTTGACGAAATTGTTTTTTTAAATATCAAATTTTTAAAAAAAAAATTTTGCCAAAGCCAAAGACCTCAATCATTTTGTGATTTCGGTCTTTTAACAATGAACAAAATAAAAATTTCAGTCATTTTGCACCTTAAATCGTAGAATCTTGGTCCTTAGATAAACTTGATAGATCACACTTTTCTCACTTACTTTTCAAGGATATTATCTTTGTTTATCACCAGGAACTTCACAAGTTAAGAATTCCTAAATCAAGTGTTGTAACACTGGATATAATGACATCATAGTAAGAGGACAATGGACTTTGAAATTCTTAATTTTATGAAAGTTTCCGTTGATCTTAAACATAACTTGGTGTAACCATGGATATAATGACATCATAGTAAGAGGACAATGGACTTTGAAATTCTTAATTTTATGAAAGTTTCCGTTGATCTTAAACATAACTTGGTGTAACCATGGATATAATGACATCATTGTAAGAGGACAATGGACTTTGGTATTCTTAATTTTATGAAAGTTTCCATTGATCTTAAACATAATGGATATTATGACATCATAGTAAGAGGACAATGGACTTTGGAATTCTTCATTTTATGAAAGTTTCTGTTGATCTTAAACATAACTTGGTGTAACCATGGATATAATGACATCATTGTAAGAGGACAATGGACTTTGGAATTCTTAATTTTATGAAAGTTTCCGTTGATCTTAAACATAACTTCGGTGTAACCATGGATATAATGACATCATTGTAAGAGGACAATGGACTTTGGAATTCTTAATTTTATGAAAGTTTCCGTTGATCTTAAACATAATGGATATAATGACATCATAGTAAGAGGACAATGGACTTTGGAATTTCTGTTGATGACTCCATGGCTCTGATAAATCAATTGGAGCTTTGTCCAACTTGTACCATGTATTGTAATTCTGGTGATTTCATTTTCTCTGAAATGCATTTATATAGTGTTCAAAGTAAGATTTCACTTGTGTCTTTTCAGAACCAGTGGCCCTGGGCATCGTATATCTGTATAGCTGGGATCATGCTTTACTTTGTAGCATTTGCAATAGGACCAGGTACTGTAGAATTCTTTTAAACATTTTTTGCATGGGAGAATCTGAGAGTTTGATAAATTAAATGATATGATAAAGTGATACTGTGGTAAACTGTAAAAGATATGGAGAATTCTTTTTAAAACAGGAGAAAGTATTAAGTATTTTTGTCTAATAATTATGTTTAAGGTTCAATCCCATGGTTCTATGTAGCTGAACTATTTAGTCAAAGTCCTAGGGCACCTGCAGTTGCAGTAGCTGTACTTGTCAACTGGTTTGCTAACTTTCTCGTTGGATTTGGTTTCCCAGTCATACAGGTAACTAATCATATGTGATATATACCAGGTTGTTCAATAAGTTCACAGAAAAATGTTCTCATTTCAAAGTTTTTTAAAATTTTTCATGAATTTCACATGAAATCCAAAAAATATCTGGTTATTGATTCATAAAAGATCAGCATTTCTTATTTGATTAGTCAAAAATAATTGCTAATGTGGCAACTTGACTTTTGGGTAGGAGGGGCATTTTTCGGTAAACTTATTGAACAACCTGGTATTTGTCTCACATAATTAATGTGATACATCAAACATAACATAAAATCTCTCAAATACTTACCATTTAACTGCATGATTTTGATTAATATACAAAAGTGGATTAAGAAACAGTACGTAAGCGATAGCATTCATAAGTGACTCAAAATTGATTTTTAAACCTGTGAAAATAAGTAGGAAAATTGCATAAGAAATGAGCAACTTAATTGGTCCAAGGTTTGTGATATTATCTTACTTGTTTTCAGAAAACTCTAGAGAACTATGCATTTGTGCCATTCTTGATATTATTGGGTTTGTTCTGGACATATACATACATCAAGGCTCCAGAGACGAAGAATAGATCTATAGAAGAGATAACTGCAATATTTAGAGATAAGGATGACCTGCCAGGATATAGCAGATTGACAAACAACAAGGGGAATGATGAGATTGTGAAAAATGTATAAATATTAGCTTGGATCGTAACTCATACCTGATTGCTAAGTGCAGTATAATATGGAAAAAAAACATTCATTTGGCCAAGGTTTGCAACCAATTTTTGAACATGGCAATGGACTTGGAAAAACAGTTGCCTATTGGGCAATGAACTGAATACCAATATGCTAAATTGGGCAATCATGTTTTCAATCTTACAGTTTTGAACATAAATCAATGACAGGTGGATTTGCTGAAGTGAGGATTTCCCATGTTAAAAATAAGAGAATTTTCAAGAGGCCATACATCAGTGGATGAGATTATACAAAATGTAAAATATACAAATTTTAGAGGATATGTATCTAGACAATATTAGAAACTATGGGCTTTCAGATAACCATGGTTAAGAAATGGTGATAGAAAATCCACCTGTCATTTATTTATGTTCCAAACTGTAGAAATGAACCCTGTCAAGAAATACACTTATTTATGTGGAACTAGTTAACTGCCTGACTAACAATATGGCAATCACTTCACTCTTGGCAATGGAATTTTGGGCAATGGACTGAATGCCAATATGGCAATCATATTTTCAACCTTACTTCTCAGTTCTGAATATTAGTGAGAGGAGCTGGTGCTCAATGGAAAGTATTTTGCGTAATATTAGAAGATTATTATTTGTGATATTATTTCTAAGGTCCTTCCTTTCAAACAGTAATTCCTTCACATCTTCATTCACCTTTATAATTGGCCTCTAGAAATGTTTAATTATACGTGACATTCTGAGTGTACATGTACTTGTATGTGTCATTGGCAATGAGTTGAACACTCAAGGAACATGTTGTTTCGTTTCCTTTTATTGACAGCCTATTAAACATGCATAAAAGTTATGATGCTAACAGTGTACAACATGAAATATCTACTCTCATGAACCATTAGAATTGGGGTTCTTTTTGATGGTTAGATAATTAGGACTGGAGATCTTCACTCCCATTCAAGAGTTTGGAAACTTGAAATCCACTTAAGGACCACATGTTAAAGACTGCTTATATTATGTACACATATTTTTATCTATTATAACTGAGGCACAAAAGTAAGATTAAAACACAAATAGGCTTAACACACTAAATACACTATCCAGTGTGTTTTCCCAGTTGTCAAACTTATAATGGAGTTTAATCAGTTTGTACCTCTTACATTGATAGATGGTACATTGAATGGTACATTGATGTACCTTGTACATACCAGGTCATTCAATAAGATCATGCAAAAGCATTCTCATTTTTTTATTTTTCAATGTTTTTCCTTGAAACATTCACAAATTGAACTTTCAAATATAAAGTTAATACAGCTATGTTCATTGAAATATTCAAACCAAAGGACTTTGTGCAATATCATATTTCATTATATAGTAAAACCTGTCTTAGTGAACACCTCTCTCTAGTGAACCCCTGTGTCTAGTGAATACCTGTTCTCAGTGGATATTCATTTACCTCACATATGAATAGAGGTGTCACGGAATGACAAAAATTCAGAATAGTTTGGTTCGGAACATTTTGCTTCGGAACGGAACAATTTTGGAACGATTCATAACACTAGTAACTGCATATATAGATTAAAATAAGTTGATTGTCTCGGTTTATTTGGTAACGAAATGCTCTCAAAAACTCTTCAATGAAAAGGAGTGTAAAGCATGACTTCTTTTGGTACAAGATATTGAAGACTTGATAAGGATAAGACTTTCTTGTTCCTGAACAGAACCGAAATTCTGAATTTTTGTTCCATGTTCCGTTCCGAGAGTGTAATTCCGCGGGTCGGATAACAATTAGGTATCTGTGACACCTCTAAACATGATGTTAAGGTTATGATGTATTTTGAATCGGAGTATTATTTTTAGGCAAAACTGAAGAGATTAGGACCTAGTACCTCTACTGTTAGTGAAATATATTTTTAGGAAATTGTTATTAAATGTAAACAAAATACAATACAATAGATCAATAATGTTTTTTATTTTTGTAACATAATTTTTGTTATGCTGAAAATAAACATTAAATCATGTTTTAGTCATGATAATCATAGCAAATTTGTGTTCATGTGGAATAAAAACTCAATGTGTAGGGTAGTCTGATTAAAAGATGGAACGTGTCCCAACTTGTCTCCCCAATAGCATTTATCACAGGAACTCCTGTACTTCTACTTATTTTGGTGTTTTGAACATTTGGCGTTTATTTAATTTGGCAGACTTGCAATATTGAAACCTCTGGCAAATTTCAGAGGATATTTGTTCAACTATTTTGACTTATTGTTACAACATATACACAAACCTAAACCTTAAACAATTGAGATAAAAAGGGACAAAATCATTAGGGAGAGACTAAGTATGGTACAGTTTTCCAATTCTATGTCAATTTCTTCAAAGCGTTCATAGTTCAAAATCAATATTACCCTAGTTACTGTAAAAATCAATACCAAGTCACCAGGAGTGATATTTAGGTCCTTCAAAAATACATTGATGAATTACAATTTTCAAATGATACAAATGGCCTACACAAGGAATACAGCATCCCCTAGATGCAGGGATTCAGACAATCTCCACTCTTCTGGAGGAAGGAATAGAATGGGTCAGGTCCAAAGCCCTGCATTTGGAGAATAGGAAAATATAGAATGTCCTGAAATTATGATACCAGTATAATTTTTTACCAAATAGATCATATGATGTAATATAACATTACAAAACACTAATTATTATAATCATTGTTATTTATTTAATATCACAGATACATCAATCATCATTTAATCATTAAAAACATTTTGCAACAACAGTGTGGCATGATAAAAAAAGAAACATGAGCATATAAGATTTCAATGTTCAGAAACATAAAATTTTAGCAGGTTACCTGCAAATTGTATATGGTATATAAAAGTGCTATACCTATTACTGCACTGCATTACATTCAACATGACTTGTGCCTAGGTCACATTTGCTCTGATTCATCGCCTGGCGCCCGGCCGATTGAATATTTTGTTCAAAATTGAAGGTCAAATCTCAAATGAGGTCAGATGTGAACTCATGAGAATTTGTACATGATTTAAAAAAAAGATTGGTCAAGTTGAAATCAGTTTTGAATAAAACACTGCAATCAGCTGGGTGCCAGGCGATGAATTAGAGTAAATGTGACCTAGGCATTATACAGTTTATGTGGGATAACTTCACATGAAATCATTCTCATTCATACATGTCATAATGTAAAATTCATTTATTTACTGTGAAACATGTATTTTAACTATGTCTTAAAGGTTGTATATAACTATCAAAGTGTTTTTGACACCTTTTCAAAGCCTTAATTCAGTATGTTGCCGTGTATGTATAATACATTTCATTACTTATACATTTAGAGTGGATATTCATCTTTCATTCCATATGAAGAAAATGTAAATTTATAAAATATAGCATTTTATTATTGAAATAGTGTGTCCTTTGTTCAATCTTTGCATTGGTGTTAAAAAAATCATCTTTTTTAAAGTATGGAGGAATATTTGATGATTAAGAAATTTCAGCTTTATTTAAAAAATGGCGGGAAATTTGAATATTTGAAAAATGAAAAGCTCATAACTTTTTTTCTCAAAAATATTTTTTTTTTAAATTTCATTTGCCATTTGTCATGACAAATAGTCAATGAACGATGAAATAATTTGACGCTTTTAGTCTATAATCATGAGCTTTTCTCAACAGTTCATTGCGTATAAAATCAAGGAACAATACATGTAGCTTAATAAAAAATAAGTGCAGCTGCACTTTAAATATCACAGACTCAACGAGGATAGGATTCAGAATCAACCATAAATAGGTTAATCAGTTTCAATGTCTAAATTAGTCCAACAATACAACCTATGCAAAAATGCCATTGGCAAATCTTATTTCATACTTTTCCATGTTTATAATAAAGCCAAATTCTGTTACGCTAAAACCTGTCTATGCGGAATGTCTTTCGTACCTCAAAATAGAGTTCAAACACCTGTGGTGTTCAACTTGAGGTTCAATTTACGTTAAGGTAAAAATGACTTTGAAGTGTTCCATTTATGAAGATCTCAACTAACAGAGGTTTTCCACGTTACAGGTTTTACAGTTTAAGCTTTAATTAAAGTTCACACCAGGCTACATGTTGTCACATGTTGTCACATACCTATCTTGCATAGTTATAATATAATAATATAAAAACACAAATTTTCTCTCTACCAGTATTCCAAATCCGAATCTCCTCCGTCGCTAGGGGAGTCACTGTTGCTATTGTAATCTGAATAAACACCACCAATAGCGCCATCTATTTCCTCATCATACCATTCAAACCACTGGAACTGCATAAACTTGCTAAACAGTCTTTGGCGTAGAAGCTCAATCTCGAATGAAGACAGAAGGTCCTTAGGCAAACCTAGGATAGTTACTAAGTTCTTTAACACAGGGACATCTATTAACTCAGTAAGATATCTCCAGTATGCCTCAGGGAGGTCAAAATCTTCTAAAGTGAAGAAATAACCGATAGTCCCAGGAGGAAACAATAGATGGTGTGGTTTTCTGCATTTTATGAAACATCTTTGGAATATTGTACGTGCACACTGTTGTCGTAGTGATGAAGACGTGTTGCCAAATATAGCTGGAAGTAGTTTGGACCCTAAGCCTTGTAAATGACTGAGTTCTGGGAAATCCGTATCTATGTATTCAAATAATTCTCTGGATATCTCTGGCTTTGAGAAAAATCCTGGAAGAACAAACATGAACAATAACATGCAAAATGTCACCACCTGCCATTAGTAACAGACACTGAAAACCAAACTCTGAGTGCCAACCGCCGGGCACCATCACAAAAAAGTATGGGTGACATAAAAACTGTATGATGTCTGAGAGAAAATTGCAAAAATAGTTATTAATTTTTCTCGATATGTGATTGAGTAAATAGATATTTCTGAGTCATTGATTTAAGAATGTCATAATTAGGCTGTGGTGTCTATGAATACCACTGATTTTTTGCATTTACTTTCCATCATTTACGTGCATAATTCCATTTTCTTTCATAATTTCTCTTTTAGTCCCTTCATGTTTCATTACATTTATATAACAGTTATATAACACATCTACATGTACCTGAGTCCATCATTTGAGCTAGGAACCTGTACGATTGTGGAATGTTAGCACAGTATCTGTCCATTCGTTTCTTCACCACTCTCAGTGAGCACAGACCAGCAAACAAAGGGGAGATCATCCTATAATAATTCATATGATAGAAAAATAAGTAAATAGTGAAATGACAAGCTCAGAAATGACTCACTGGTTGTTAAAACAGGATTTGTAAAGATGTTATTTTTTAAATAATCACACATTTCTTTTTCATAAACAACCATTATCTAAGTACATGCAGGTCCAGGCTAGTATGGCAACACACTGTACATTTTAAAGCTTCTATTTTAACATGTGCATCAATATTATTGCTTCTACCTCTGTTTGCGTCCATCTCTGACTGATCCCCTTTGGATGGGACTAGCCCCCCTCTCCAGCAACAATCGACAAGTAGCCATATCACCACGCACCATGGAGTTGAACAGAGCTGTGCGGCCTTGCTTGTTCTGGACATCCAACTGGAAGGAATATATCAGGAAATATTAGGTCTTGAATGCTGGAGGTGAGAGACTGGTGATGACTGATCCTGGAGTAACGTATGGGATTGTTAAAATCAATCTCGACTGTATTCAATAAAACCTGTCTTATATGGATGCTACTTACACTGGCAGATTGGCACTCAGGTGTTCACATATCGAGGTTTTTAACATGGAAGTTTATGGCAGATAGAAAACAAGAACGAAAAAGCATTCACATCGAGAGATATTCAATCAGAGGAGACAGATGTATATTTGCTGATTTCAGTGAATACCTATCCACATTTCTTTTCTCTTTGAATTTAATTCTTGACAGTTTAATTCATTTTCACTTCTATGATAATTTCAACAAAAAGATAAAAGTGGACTTCTAACGATAATTTTTTATCCTAAATGCACATCCGAGATCAAAAATAATTTCTATTGATCTACCAATACATACTGTACAGCATGCCCTTCTTTGAGATAACTTTACCTTGAGGCCTTCAGTTGAAGTCATATATGAAGCAAAATGTTCTTTTCCAGTTAGATTGCAACATTCAGTGTAAGGGTCATCATACGGTCTGTCATCTATGAACTTTGAAACACCAAAGGGGAATGCGTCACAAAGAGCCAATAGTGGTGTATTACCTAAAATAACATTGTGGTTTTAGTTAGCGTTATGTAGTATCTTAATAACCCAGATGCAAGTAGAAATAATCTTGAATTACGTCATTAAAAATTAAAAATTCAGTCAAAGTAATATCATATTTGAAATCTACATGTAAAATTACATCTAGTGATGTGGTTTTAAAAATTGTTTATCAACTTTGAAAAATTAATTTTCTTTGAAAATGTGACTTCTAGCTCGGGGAGATTCCCCATAGACCCCATGCTATAAAATTACAAAAAATGAAATATCTTTTCTTTTAGTGGACAGATAATATTTTGCTTTCCTGGACATATTTTCATGAGTATAAGTATCAGACACATAAGGGTTATATGAAAATCGAGCCACTTAAATTGATAATATTCAAGTTTAAGGGAACTTTCTGATATACCTGCCATGTTAATTGACCCGAATCAGCCACCTGGTGGTGAAACTGGTAACTACCTACTCGCATTTGGGTAATTGCATTGTGGTTTACACCTCACAACCATTGATTTACATCCAATGTAAATGAGAGTCCATGTCATAACATTATTATTTTTAGTCTATGCTCTGTCTGCAATTCCAAAATTCCCCGATCATCTTAATAATTTTGGGAGCAATTTTGGAATTCCTCGGACTTCTCAAGGTCATTTATATGACCATTGGAGAAAAAGTGGATGTACTGATAATCTTATTAACAGAATTGGTTTCATTTCCTACCTCTGATGTCTATTGCATTGTTATCTGCACTGTTCTCACAAAGTAGTTCTGATATACGAAGGTCAGTACTGTAGACTAGAGTTCTATGTAAAGGTGTCATGTGATACTCATCTCTGATCTTAACATCCCCTCCATGGCCTGCAAATAATAATTGGATGGGTGATTTATTGTACAAAAGCTTATCCACAAAAATATAGTCTTATCAAAAAATAAATTTTTTGAAGTTTTCCATTTTTCATTCATTTCGTACGTCCCCAAAGGCCCTGTATCACTATGTATGAATATATAGAATATTAATAAATTACCTCAACTGTTAATTTGACCAATAAGTATCATGTTTACAAATTTAACAATTGAGTGCACAACTGCAGAGCTTGGCAACATGTCAGTGAATATCACTTGAGGCCAAGCAAGACCAATTTCTACATCCTTTCAACTTTTAAACTTGATTTAGATTCACATTTCATCTTCAAATTGAGGATACACATGATGTTGCAAGGGTTTAGGTAGTCATTTAATTTTGACAGAAAAAAATGGTGTTTTAGTGTACGGCAAATGATTTACTTTTCCCAATAAACATCCCTAAATAGATTGTTACTCATACCCAACATGATAGCGATGAAGTCTGAGAGGTGATCCAGGACTTCTTCTAGTGTGTGTAGCAACCTGTTGTTCAACCCTATCACCTTATAATGAAGAGGGTTCCATATAGTCAGCTTCCTCCTATAAATACAAAGCAGAAGTTAATAGTTCAGAATATGCAACAAATGTAGAACAAATGTAGAAGTAGAACACTTCTGTAAGTGGAACACTTTTCAAAGTTCAGTTATCTAGTAAATTAATGGATGTAAAACAGAATCTCTGAGAGTGGAACACCTCAAAAAGTGGAATACTTCAGTCAAATTATCCACAATAAATTAAATCAATGTATGTAAAATGAACTTCTGAAAGTGGAACACCTCCACAAGTGGAACACTATTTTACCATTTACTATTTTTAAACGTAACACCTTTCCTCTTCCTATCTCATTTAAATTTTTCCTCCAAGAAGCACATGGTACATAAAAACTTTATAAAGAATGTGAATAAACTTACTCTAGTGAGTTAAAAGTTGTGTGGCAGGGGTGTTTGGTTATTGTGTTGTAGAAATCCACTGTTAATTCCAGGGCAGTCTTTCCAGGGCCAACATACTCTGAACCAAATAGTGTCTGAAACAATTAAATAAACTTAGTGTGTGATAATATAGCTTTGGTAAATAACCTCTCTCCTTTACTATAGGTGAAGGACATTAGTTCAACATTAGATGGGGCAATGTACAAAAAATTCAAGAATCAAGTAGATTTAATCAAGTAGTTGTATATTGAATCAAGCCCTTTGTAACCCCTTCCCATCCCTTTGAAGCTGTTGTGATATTTAGAGAAGCTTTCAGGATATTTTGTGAAATGTGAATTTTACTTACCGATCAGCCTCAACTTCATTGAAAGGAAATATACTAAATAATTTGCAATATATGGACTACTGTATGTTGCTATGGATACTCACAGCTGGCACTCTGTAGTTGCTATTGGCCCCAGCTCGTACTAACAGCGCTGCTATATTAAGGTTCCTGGGGGCTGGGGTTGTCTCATCCTCGTTCATACCACAGAGTACTATATAGAGTGGTGTACGCTGGTAGCAACCTGAATAATAATCACTTGAAATCCATTCAATAATGATTGTGTATGTGCTTTCTGAGAAAATTACATGTAAAATTCAACGTTTTAAGTATAATGTCTTGTCCCTGTATACATGTAATATAATATGTACAATAAAGTGTATTCTTTTCTCTTGTGTCAGTTAAAAATTTATTTGCATAAAGTTGAGAATTTGAATTATTATGGAAATATTGGGATTATTGATTTTCAAGAATTTCAGACATTTTCCCCAAAAAATTAAAATCAAGACTAACCGCAACAAATCCCTGTTAGAGTACACACACCTTACTTGGTGATATATACATGTAGGAATGGTCTAGACATAAGATGCTAATGTATTTCTCTATGACTCAAACAACTTGTATCTTAAAATATATCGAATTATACTAAAATGTTCACCTTCATCAAGATATGTTGCATTTGTGCAATCTTCAATCATTTGTTCTGCCTCATCATAGTGGTGTAATTCTAGAGCTCTTGTCAACTGTGTCTCATTTATTCCAAACTCCACATGAAATACACCAGGGCCAGCCATTGTCAAACTGAAATGCATGAAGCCACAGTGTACATTGCAGTGGGGGATCTGGAAGCTAACAAGGAGAGCCCACATTTCAAGTCAGATGAAAATTCCATGCTTTTTGGGCAGCTATAACCAAATATTGGGCCCAAATTTTGGAAATGTAAGGCCGATTTTTTGACAATTAGAACAAGACAAGAAGTAATACCAAACAAGGCCCACTAGTTCCTTTTCCATTTAGCTTTGAAATCTCGTTAAAGTCTCGTTTTTAATAAGATTTTAGGAGATCTGCATTTTTAACCATTAAAGACTAACATTTTCTTCTATTTGATGGCATATTCGAATACCCTGTGTAATTTTCTCTCAAAACAACTTTGATTTGCACTGTTATTCACTTTTAGGCCATAAGAAGTAGATTCTTTGTTTTGCATTCCCTTGCTTGCACGATTTTGAGTAAATCAGAAAAAACAAACACATCCAAATAGCAATCACAAGGGTCTGAAAGTACCATTGCATTTTGTTCAATCAGAATCAGATGAAATAGCGGATAATTTGATGTGCGTAAAAATTGACAGTGTTATTAATTACTTATGGCATGCATTGTTTTTTTCTTATTTTTTACCCTAAGCTTATATGTTTAAATATACATGTATTGTATAAAATGTATAGATATGTGTTTTTAATCACTACAAAATTGGTATGTCATCCCTTTTTATGCCCTTGAAATGTATTCATTTCTCTTGAAACAAGTTTGTGTTTTTTCTTGAGTTTGTGTTTGTTTTCCTTGTACCCTTGCATGATTTGGATTTTGTCAGGACGCAAAACAAGAATCTATTTCTTATAGCCTTATTCAAATTCTAAAAAAGGTTGGGCTAAATCTCCATTGACACAATGCTGAAAAACCTTAAAAAGTTCATTTACTCTTACAAGGATCACAATTTTAATGTTAAATCACAATCCACATGTCAATAAGATCATATATTTACATTCCAATGGTGTTTTAAGTTTATCCAAATGGAATTACTTCTTAAAGGGGCAATAAGGACTGTAGAGAAAATAGGAAAGTTTTTTAATTTTTTCTGAGCTATGCAGGCAACATTTGGTTTAACATCTTCTTTGACATACCTATTTTCTTAAAACGTATGGATAAATTATCAATTTCAGCATGAAAAAGTGTAAATTCAGTTCAAAGCTTCAAAAAGGGGACTTCCACTTTTATATTTTTAAGATCCACCATGTTTCAAGAAGAATACCAGCTGAAATAATGTTTATCTAGGGGGTTTCTTTGTAGATAATAAAAATAGATGTTAGTCTTGATGAAATATCCAAACTTAAATATATTTTGACACTGGTCCATGATCATCTGCACTAATCATTGCACCTTTAAATCAAGAAATTAAGTGACTCTGGCAATATATTTCAGGCCCGTAGCCAGGGGGGGGTTCGCAGGGTTCGGGCGAACCCCCCCCCCCTGGCCAAAAATTCTTTCAAAATCATGCAGTTTTTCACCATTTTGAGCATTTCTCAAGTGATTTTGGCCATATTTGGGCCAAAATTGTCAAATGTGAACCCCCCCCTGGAAATTTTTGAAAACTGAACCCCCCCTTGGCAAATCCTGGCTACGTGCCTGCATTTACATGTATTCTAGCCCTACCATAGCCCTACCAATACCCATGATGCCATCTATTTTCCATTTATATGGTAAAAGGTCAATTAAAGTGTGCGCCTGACCCGGCTACGTATAGCACAGAGTTTATACTGGCGGATTAGACTAGTTCATTTTTTATATGTGTGTGAAAGCTTTCTCTTATTTGCGTTTTTTCGTTTAGTACGGTTTTGTTATAATCGCCGAGGTCATATAACCGGGATAAAACAATGATTATCGTTGACTGCCCACACACAAAACATACGTTGAGTGAACAGTGTTATTACAAACAACAGGCTTTAGAATACAAAGCGTAGTGTGATAATAAGCTGCACACTACCACTGCTGCATGTACATATTACTAATTTACTAGGGCTCCCAAAGAGTGGATAGGGAGGTTGTGTTTGTCACTTTTAAATTTTACATTTCAAAATTGTCATTTCACATGTCATAATTTGTTGGTTTCATTCGTTTAGCCAATCAAAACATTGTAAATCAATCAATTTTGTTCAGTTTTGATTAGTTGTCAGAATAAAGTTACGTTCATCTGAATTCATGTATCAAAACAAAAATCCTATTTTCACTTCAAAATACTTCAGTGAGATGAAGGCTCGGAATTGTCACATGCAATAACTTATTGTCGTATTCGTTATTTTATCTTCTCGAAGATAGTAGCATTTAGTCGCACATTTGATGCCAGGTCACCTTGTCGCGTACCTCTTGGGGAACCCCACATTTATGTCTGTACTCATGGAAGTAAATTGCCCGGTGTAGCCGAGAGCCACAAACTTTTCAACAGGTTCGAAATGACCAATTTCTCTCATATATACTCTAAATATTTTATTATTTAGCACCTACAAAGTATTGCTAATAACCATATGTAATTTCAATAAGGAAACTTATCTGGCTACATATAAACTCAATATCAACACTAGCTGTTCTCTCAACACGTCCTGGCTTACCTTGTGGTGACAAACCCTGGATTTTCGCTATTTATAGTTTATCAACACCTGGACGCATGCGCATTTTATACTTTATCGGGCACTTTAAGGCCCTATAAATCTTTTGGGTCCAATTTTTTTTAAATCCCCCCCACTGGATCCGCCAGTGCATTGAGACTAAAATCTGTATTGGTGTTCATTTCATAAACTACATGTACATGTTCACATGTATGCCCTGGCTGTAGTAACTGCATGTACATCATCATCATCAAATTCTGAATTAATAGGTTTCAAAGTTCTGTCTATGATAATACTTGGTCATATGATAAGACTTACATCGTCATTTAGTTCATAAATAACATTAAACTACATGTAATCTGATTTCATGATGGAAATGTTGCCCAGTATAATTTTTTATTAAGCCTTTTTATGGAAGGTGATACAATTCAATAATAGGGGGCTGGTTAGGCTTCCCAGTAAGGCTTTCAAAACAACATTGCTCAGTTGTTTGTTTCACCTGAAGTGTGCTTTCTTTTAGAAGCCCCAACATCTATAGCATTCTCTGTAGGATTTTTGTGGGTGCAAAATTCTCATTTTCAGAATTCAGAGTGAAATTGGTCAAAATGCCAATTTTTCATGATTTTTTCATTTTCAAGCGGGTGCAAATGGATTTTCAGGTGGGTGCAAGCCAGTTTTTAAAACTCAGGCAGGTGCTGTGAGGACAATGATATTTAGAATAGTTTGGTGTATCATGGTATCATATATAACAGTATGAAATTCACATGCACCGAAACAGATAGTAGAGTTGTACCAATAAGAAAATCCTAACCCCCCCCCACTCTCTGTACCAATGAAAAAAGACATGGCGAGTAGAGGTTGATTTTCTTTTCAGCCAATTCTGCTTTACTACATGTACATGCATCTAGCTGTTCCGGTGTCTATGATATGTCATCCCTATTAATTTGTAACGACCCTTGATAACAATTTGCTACTTCAGTCCAGCTGTAGTGGCTTAAGCCTTTATAGCTCAGTCGGTAGAGCATCAGACTTTGGATCCAAGGGTCCTAGGTTCGATTCCCACGCGGGGCATTGAATTTAGCACACTTTCTTTCAATTTCTTTATCTGGCTTGTTACACTATGCTCGTTAGTTAGACATTCCCCTGGGGTGCCCTCGGGTCATTACATTGCAGGGGCGTAGGAAGGTGTAAATTTAACACTACGCCAAAAAATCCCGCCAAAAATATGAAACAATTGTGTCAAATCTTCTTTATCAAAACGCCTATTTTATTGTCATTTTATGGCAATAGAGATTTTAAGCTTGCAATGTTTTCACAACCTAAATGTGAACGGAAATAGTTAAGCGATGTATTTGTATGGGCGAATGGTCATACGTATAGGTTGGCGTTTCGATTTCATATGCAAGCTTAATATCCCTGATACCCTTTTAAATGTGCTTAAAATGTTCAAATGATTTTCATCATTTAGAATCACCATGGAAAGCCGATCTTTTAAATCTCGACACAAATCATTCTCAAAATCATTTTCGAATAATTGAATTGCGATATATATTATTGTCTGATTCCATCGTGTATAGTACCGTGCAATACGACACGTACAGATTAAAGAATCTAACTTGATCAATAGAGTAGATGCGAGTAGACATGATCTTGATTTACGTCATTAAATATTCAAAATTCAGTCAAAGTGATGTCATATTTGAAATCTACATCTAAAAATACATCTAGAAATATGGTTTTGAAAATTGTTTATCAACTTTGAAAATTTAATTTTTTTTGAAAATGTGACTTCTAGTTCGGGTTGATTCCCCATAGACCCCATATTACAAAATCACAAAAAGTGAAATATCTTTTCTTGTATTGGACATATAACATTTTCTTTTACTGGACATTTGCATAATTTGCATTAATTTGCATAACTATTCGATACATAAGGGCTATATGAAAATTGAACCACAAAAACAGATTTAATTTAAGTTAAAAGGAACTTTCTACTATACCCGCAATGCTATCTGACCCGAGCGAGCCACCTGGTGGTGAAACTGGTAACTACCTACTCGCATTTGCGTTATTGATTTAAAGAAACGCATTCGTGATCAATGATACGATTAATCCTAATGTCTGCAACCTTTTTTATAACACTAGTTCGCAAGACCAAATACCACACTACAATGGTCAAATCGAGGTCAGCGTGACTTAGGGGGTGCCAAAAATGTTATATTTCATAAAAACAATAATCTATTATCTTTCAAATGAAATAAAAATCTAGGTAATAGCTTTTCTAGAACTGAAATCACATACACATAAACCAATAACAATCGGTGATTTACTAAGAAAATAGATAATTGCTGACTAATAAATATAATTTCTGTCTATGATTTTGCCTAGCAAAGGGGGTAGGGGAGAATAAAAAATATACATCTAATTTAAAGAGGTTCATCATTATAATTAAACGATACCACAGTTTGCATAAGCATTACGGAACATGCACAAAAGATTGCAAAGGTATTCATCTAGTAGTTTTTGAAAAAAACAACCCATAAGATAGTCAGTCAATAGTGACTCGATTTTCATGAAATAAAGCATGTTGGTAAGAGAATTCAATTTGTTAAATGATTATTTGCCAAACAGAGCAATAATGATTACTTTGCATTTTTTACAGTATTAGAATTGTAGAAACAAGGTATTAACTTTCAATATTTTATTTTTCAAACAGTGTCATTTATCTGTGGCCAAGGTTAGAAAAATAACAGAGGCACAAAAAACATGCAAAAGAGTACTATTAAAAAATCTAGCATCCCCAAACATTTCTTTGGGCTAGTGTGCTCGAGATTACTTTTGCATAATACAATAAGAAAATATGAATAAAGAACATAGGTAAATTAATAAGCCTTTTTATTCTCACTTTTCAACACTACGCACTGGCGTTTTGGCGTACATTGTTCCTACGCCACTGCATTGGTGTCAGATGTGGGATCAGAGCATTGGTTGTATCCTTTGCGCCCTTCTGTATATGGTAGTCACTGCTAGGGAAGCAGGGCTGACCACGAGGGTGTGGTCCTTTCAAAGGGGGAGATAGTGTAACGACCCTTGATAACAAGTTGCTACTACAGTCCAGCTGTAGTGGCTTCAGCCTTTATAGCTCAGTCGGTAGAGCATCAGACTTTGGATCCAAGGGTCCTAGGTTCGATTCCCTTTATAGCTCATTTAGCACACTTTCTTTCAATTTCTTTATCTGGCTTGTTACACTTTGCTCATTAGTTAGACATTCCCCTGGGGTGCCCTCGGGTCATTACAAATTTGTCTCGCAGTGAATTATAACAGCTCATCAATTATTTCTTAAAATCAGTCTGAATATCATTTCCAAGTAACAAGTAACTCCATATATAGCATTTGCATTTTCCCTAAAATTTTCACTTTATTTATTTACCTTTTTCTATATAAATGGAAATATAGATGGCAGCATAGGTGTTGGTAGGGAAAGAATACATGTAAATCTATTGCAAGAGGTACGTATTATTTCGAGGAAAATGTGTGACATATACGGTATCCGTGTGAAGAGTGTGAACAAAATGCGTTCATTTTTTGGGGCATTTGTAATATGTCTCGCAAAAAAAAATTCGAGGAAAATGTGTGACATATACAGGGTACGGTATCTGTGTGAAGAGTGTGAACAAAATGCGTTGATTTTTTGGGGCATTTGTTTGCGTGACATATTCTGTCACGCAAAAAAAACTGGCGTGACTTCAAATTTTCTTGCAAATGCGTGACAAATTTGCAAATAGCGGGACAGTTGAACGGTCTGCAACCTGATTGGGGCCATTTACTCAAATTTTCAGTATTTGATTGGATAATTGAGATGGGTTCAATAAACATCGCGATGTATTGATCAATCACGACAACACCAGCTAATGGGCACACACTGAGATGACGGATATAATGGGACTGAGATGACAGATATGTCATTGAGATGGTGCCATGCGTATGGATGTTGAACTGACTTTGACGGGCAGCCTATGTAGGCTTTTTTCCGGAACAGAATCTTTGTGAGCAGAAATACATTGTACATGTACAGTAGACTAGTCTATTGTAGAATTTTTAAAAATAAAAAATAAAAAAAGTTGAAAAATATCTGCACAGTACTAGACTCAGTAGATCTAGTAATTGTAAATCTACAGTCTAAATTTGTTTACTTCGGTCCAAAGCCTTCTCTATATTCCGGCTGTAAGCTAGAGACTCGAGTAAAAATTTGTCATCGTTATTAATAGTAAAACAGTGTGCTTACCCTTATTTCAAAATCCTTTAAAAGTGTCACAAACGCTTCATTTCATTACTTTTGTTGTTGATTTCAAGACACACTAGGGGCAATCTGCGCGAGGTTCCATTTTCAGGTTCGGTTTTTCGCGCATGAGCATTAAATTCAGCAATTTAATTGGTTCAAATTATAAAAACGCATGCGCAGTTAATAACTTAGTTAGAACTTATAATCTAAGAAAGATGTCACTTACGTTCATTATTTCACAGCAGTCCGTACCCATAATGCACCTTATATTGCGGGAATGTTTTTGTTTAGCATATCAAACAAAAAAGTATTCCCCCGACAGAAGAATGACATATTATGAACTGGCCCCCGTTTGTGGACGTTTGGTGTGCAAATTTAAACCGAACTGATCGCAGAAAAGCAATTTGAATCATGGGAATGAAGTACTTTCATTAATGAAAAACCGAACCTAGTAAAAACCGAACCTCGCGCAGAATGCCCCTACTCTCAAGACAGGTGTTTATGAGAGGCGCCCTCTATTGTCTAGATCGTCACTCCGTACCTGCAAGATGTCAGCCCACACACATGCATTTGATTTTAAAATTCCATCGGAAATTATACAAAATCCAGGTAAATAATGAATCAGTGACCGATCAGACATTGAAAACAACTAACGGAGTACCTATTTGAGAGCTACCTTTTGCTCAGTCATGATTGATTGACTCCAATTTGTAGGAAACTCGTAGATCAATGTTTTGAATTTTTCTATTTTTTTTTCTTTTTTTAGCTTACACATGTATACACATTTTTTATAGTAGCTAATTTCTCACTACAAGGCTAGGTTTACTCGAGTCTCTAGCCATAGAATATGGTAAGGCTGGGTAAGTTAGACCTAACTGTTAATCTACTATTTTTTTCATGGCCTGAGTTCGTCGCTAACATGCTAAATATAAGAGTTAGCTGACGTTTGGGAGTCTAACTTACCTTCTAAAGGTTAGAGCCCGAATCTGAATGAAACCATATCACCTTTGTTGCGTCGATGATGATGCATAAACACAGCATTTGATAGAAATTAGTGTAAATGCTTTTCCGACTTTTTCATTTTTCATCAATGTAGACTTCCGGGAAGGCGTTGTAGTTATCACGAAATAACGCATTGACCCTTGAACTTTACTTTGTTGACGTGTCAACCAAGCATGTCTGGTGTGAAAATTAAAAGAATATTAAGCAATGTTCTACATCCGCCAAGCTAAGTGAAGTAGCCGATATTTAAAATTACCAATTTCAAGTGAAGTACGCAACGAACGAAACTGCGTGATCTGCACTCCCACTATTGGTCTGAACGAAATGCTACGTAGAAATATGAGCCGTTTGCTGTATTAGTGGATTAATAGAGTAAGACCTGTTGGTGATGCTTTATAATTTAGACCAAAACGTTGGAGAACAAACGAACCTGTAAATCGTGAAAACAACAAACAAATATTCGGTTTTCACATATGTTCGGTAATTTTTCGTATTGAAACTTCCGGAACTTACAAGGAAATCATTCATTTTCACGGTCCATGATTTACCTCTTGGATGTTGTGGCAAATGCTCCATGGTTGACGGAACAAAGGTGATATGGTTTCATTAAGATTCGGGTTCTAACCTTTAGAAGGTAAGTCAGACTCCCAAACGTCAGCTAACTCTTATATTTAGCATGTTAGCGACGAACTCAGGCCATGAAAAAAATAGTAGGGCACGAGGACACAATGTAAAATATAGATATCTATCATCTATGGTAGTACATTTGGAAGGGAGGAACACACAGGCACCCAGCCTTATACTCCTAAAACTGATGATGATGATGATGATTACATTCACGAGAGATCCAATGTGTGCCACGGCAGCTCTCTCATTAGACTAAGCTTGGACTATCCAGATAGAAAAAGTGCTGTGGTACTCCAGAGAGAAATAAGTCGAGGGGGTGTGGCATGTAAGAACCACATGCTATCTATTGCAAGACTTATGCCTAAGTTTCGCAAGGATCCAACCATGACCATGGTATTGTTATCGTGAAAGCCTGGTATAACCGTGACAATGCTATATTATAAATGCAAGACCATGGTAATGTAAAGCCTGATATGACCGTGACAATGCTATATTATATTGCAAGGCCTGTTATGACCGTGGTAATGTTAAAGCCTTATGATTGTGGCAATGGTTCTAAGGCCTGTCATGACCGTGGTTTTATGCATATATGAAGGTACACAACTGCTTTATAAGCTACCCACTAAATGAAAGGGTTGATTTGTATATTTTCTTATTTTTGAAATTTTAGGCCATTGTAGATTTTGATATAAATGTCAAAAAAAGAAAAACAAACCAGCCTCACATTTATGGGGTATAATTAGCTTTTGTACATGCAAGTCATCAAGGCAACTAAATATATCAAATCTTCATGTGATTGTTATTCGAAGATATGGAAGATATGACTAGTCATATCAACTATGACATCAGTTACATTTTACCCCATCAGCAACTAAACAAACCAAAGAGAACTACATGTATTTATATACAGTAGAACCTGCTAAGTGGAACACCTCTGTAAGTGGAACACCTCGCAAGTGGAACACTTTTTCAAAGTCCCGTTTTAAAAACCCATTGACTTAATGTTAAATGAACCTCTGTAAGTGGAACACCTCCAAACTTGAACAGTGAACACCCCATATTGAAAAATTAACCTGCTAAGTGGAACAGTCAATTTTCCATAAATTTCAATACTGATACTTATGTAAATAGAATTAACCTCCTGCAGTGAGTATCTGGGTATGAAAACAGGTAATAACGTGATAATTGGCAAATTAGGATTTTAACTGATTACCATATAGCAAATTGGATTAACCTCCTGTGGAGATAAAGATGTGATGCTACCACTAATTAATTTGATAATTAGCAAATTAGGATTTCATAAGATTATCATTCATCAAATTGGATTAATCTCCTGTAGAGATCGACATGTGATGCTACCTCTAATTAATACCCCTTGCTGTTTGTTTCAAACTTGATAAGTAAGATTAAGAATGTCAGTTAAAAAACAAATGAATTATAAGCAGTAGGAACAAGTCTTCAAAACTTAATCCAAATTAAGCCAAATATTTGTGCCTTGGACTGGCAGAATGAGGAGGATTAAGAAAGTCAGAAAACATTTTTGGCGGAGGATTATGAATGTCAGAAACCTTTATGAATAAAACAAATGGATAGTTAATGGTATATAGCTGCCCTGCAATGAACGGAGAATCATATTTCCGGTGATACATAAAAACCCTATATTTGATCTTGCACATTTTTTAAATCCCCGCAAACCCAAAACCTCCGTAAGTGGAACACCTCCTAAGTGGAACGCTTTTAGCCAGAACGGAGGGTGTTCCACTTACACAGGTTCTACTGTATGTTCCTTTACTTTTCAGTGTATATTTCTCTCGAGAAACAAACAAATAATCTAAATGTCACACATCACTGTTGCTTTTTTCTGTTTCTTCATTAATGTTACCTTACCAACAACAAAACAAACACGGGAGGATGACATAATAGATCAAAATGACAGAAATTCACAAGAACGAAGAGGCTTATTTTTAGGCTTTGAAATAAAACATATTATTCATTGTTGGTACTATTTGTTTTAGTGTTGTTGAAGACAGTCCAACAAAATATTTCCAACTGTTTACTAAAGCCTGTTTGTACTACTGGTGCAGGAGACACTGTAGGAGATGGATACACTAGATGTCAAGAAATAGAGCCAGTTGATGGTCGGCTATACATATTTACATCATCAACCAATCAAAGGTGAAGTATGTATAAACAACTCTAATCACAATATGTATTATAGTAATATAGTATAGCACAATACAGTATAGTACAATACAATACAGTACAGTACAGTACAGTACAGTACAGTACAGTACAGTACAATACAGTGCAGTGCAGTGTAGTGCAGTACAGTACAGTACAGTCCACTACAGAATGTACATATGATTCAACTCTGACCACCTTTCTGTTTAATTTTCTCGTTTTGATTTTCCAACAAACTTTCAATTATTAGAAAAGAGTTCCTGTCTGTGTATTTTTCATATACATTGTATTTTAATACATGAACAGTACTGTACTTTATTTCATACAATATATATATTTTTCTATTTGCAGTCATGCTGTCTTAAGGTTTTATCCAGATGGGGGTGTGACATTGGATATCCAGGCCCCAGTGAATCCTAAATGCAGTCCCATCTTCACCGAACAAGTAAGAATGCATTTTAGACACCTTGCCCTGTGTAATGTAACTGACACTTACATTGAGGAGTAGAATCTGTCCATTCTGAAATCTAGTGAGATTGGCCAAAAGTGTTCATATTGGCTGTGTTCACATTTCAAGTTTTTTTTTTAACATTTATTGCAGATTATAAAATTAGACCAAAACCAAAAAGTGTTCACATTGAGAGGTGTTCATATAAAAGAGGTGTTGGGATAAACAGGTTCTTCTGGAGATATGAATTCTGTTTGTCAGTATCAACATATTCAATATGACTTAATTTTTTGTGGAATCATGTATTTCATGATATTTTATCGAATTTGGTCCACGACCAACAATTTGAATTTTTGTAGTTCTCAATGTTGTCCAGCATGTATATATTACTTTTTCTGTGTACAAAAACCTATTTAATCTTATTTACAGTTTTTGTCTTTTCTAGAAACTTGATGAAATCCAGAAAAGTGTATCAGACACAATCCAGGCAGTCAAATCCACCAGGTATCAATTCTATTTGTTAAGAAAATATTCACAAGTTTCATTACTTATTTTACATAAAGTGCAGGCTTTAAACCTTTTTGCTCAGTATGTGACTGTACATTCCCAATTACATAGCGGGATGACAGTGTGGCAATCACACATACATTGGAACAAATCCATACATGAACTTCGAGTTGTTACAGTGCCTAGAAGGGGTCTCATCACCAGCGGGCATCAAGCCATTTTCTCCAACTGATTTTACCAAATCAATGAATAAATAATTTTGATTGTTGTTTTCATTTAAACTTTTGATTACATTTGGATTTTGTTTAGTTTTTCACTCTCTCAATCTATTTGTACATTTTCTTCCACTAAGATTACCCCCCATCAAGAGGAACCCAGCTGTTGATGTGTATTTTCCCACGCAGGCTAACCTGCTGGTGGAGTATGACTTCACAGAATGTGTATATGAGGCTGATTCACCTTACCAGAACATCAAGATAATGCACTCTACACAGTTTGGCAACATGCTTATCCTGGATAATGACCCAAGTAAATCTATTATCTTCAGCAACATGCTTATCCTAATAATGACATAAATTACCTTTTCACCTGTATGCGTGGTGGTGCGCTTGTGCTCGTATGTTTTTATGTATAAGGGATGTCAAAAATAAATTGCAAATCATTTCTGTTATAATTTAATGATGATTTAATGATAATATTTTAGTTGACTATCAGCCCTTACTAACCATAAATTAAACCAATCAAATGTTAAAAAATAAGACTTGCCTCTAAAAGTTGTTTGTGCTTTTCTTTGAAGATTTAGCTGAGAGTGATTTGGCTTATACACAAGCAATAACCGGCAATGGTCGTGAAGACTACTCCGATAAAACAGTGCTGATCCTTGGAGGTGGAGATGGGGGTATACTCCATGAGTTACTAAAGGAGAAACCCAAACATGTTATAATGGTGGATATATCCTTTACAAATGATCTTTTGAATGATTGCATTCTCTAAATTCCCAATCTTTCATAATTTATATGTAAGGATTTTGAGCAGAAACTACTTGAAAATATAACAGTGATCTCCCCAGGATTTTTTCTAGACAATGTGCTTAATCCTCATTTTAATCATTTTGGTCAAAATATAAATAGTTTACCCTCTTGGCAGGATGTAAACAGATTTTCAACTGGTTAGTATGTTATATTCAAATTTTCAACAGGGTACAGCACCAAGTTGCCCTTATGCTAGTACTTCCTTGTAACCTGTATTAATACAGCTGTTTGAAGTTCTGGTTAATTTCCTTAACCTTTGACACATAGATGAGTTAGTTGTGAAGGCTGCACCAAAGCATCTTCGTGGAATATGTTATGACTCACTAGACAGCCTATCAGGTCCAAATTATGAGGTAATACCTGTATACATAAAGTAGATCTAGCTTTCACAAAATCTACTTCATCTACACTTTGTAATTAATTGGAAATAGATGTAATTCTTTGACTAAACCTATACATTGCCTATAGGGTTTCGCCAATTCATCAGTTTGATCATTGAGTTCAAAACTTGTTCTTTTTTGATATCCACCATGGTTGAAGATTTAGAAAAATTTTAAATATTGAAACAGGACACACCAAAACTGTGTAAATTACATGTAATCACTTTGCAGTACAATTTATCCTCTTTGGCTTGTTCAATGAATGTATAACATATATTTAAGAGACATTTAACAGACTTGCCAACCTCCCGTTTTTTTACGGGAATCTCCCGTTAATTTTTTGTTTTCCGTAAAAAATACCAAACTCCCATACCGTTTTCTCCTGTAAAAACTCCGGTAAACTCCCATACTGTATTTCTACTAAAATCTCCCATAATTTTTTTTAAAAATATGGCCGTAAAATCTCCCGTATTTTTGCTGAAATCTCCCGTAAAATCTCCCGTATTCTGGTATAACTTCCGTAAAATCTCCCGTATTCTTGGTATAACTCCCGTAAAATCTCCCGTATTCTTGGTATAACTCCCGTAAAATCTCCGTTTTTTGCTGTCGAAATCTACCGTATTTAAAAGGAATTTTACAAATTTGTGACCTTGATTATTGCAGGTACGCTTCTTTCTTTTACTCCAAGAAGGATTGGCTCCCATGGTTCACTATCGATACTTTCATAAATAACTTAAAAGTACTTCATTCCCATGATTCAAATTGCTTTTCTGCGATCAGTTCGGTATAAGTTTGCACACCAAATGTCCACAAACGGGGGCCAGTTCATATTCTGTCATACTTCTGTCGGGAGAATACATTTTGTTTTTATATGGTGCTAAACAAAATATTCCCGCAATATAAGGCGCATTATGGGTGAAATAATGAACGTAAGTGACATCTATCTTAGATTATAAGTTCTAATTAATTTATTAACTGCGCATGCGTCATAATAATTTCAACCAATTAAATCGCTGGATTTTATACTGTAAAAACTCCCGTTTTTCCAAAATCGACCGTATAAAGTCCAGTTTTTTCAGAAATCTACCGTAAAAACTCACGTTTTTTTCAAAATCTACCGTAAAATCACCCGTTTTTTCAGAAACCTACCATAAGAACTCCTGTTTTTCCGAAATCTACCGTAAAAACTCCCGTTCTTTCAAATCTACCGTAAAAACTCCAGTTTTTTCAAAATCTAAAGTAAAAACTCCAGTTTTTTCAGAAATCTACCGTAAAAACTCCAGTTTTTTCAAAATCTACCGTAAAAACTCCAGTTTTTTCAGAAATCTACCGTAAAAACTCCCGTGTTTTCAGAATGTACCATAAAAACTCCTGTTTATTCAGAAATCTACCGTAAAAATCCCGTATTTTTTAAATATCTACCGCTAAAACTCCCGTTTTTTCAAAATCTAAAGTAAAAACTCCAGTTTTTTCAGAAATCTACCGTAAAAACTCCAGTTTTTTCAAAATCTACCGTATAAACTCCCGTTTTTTCCGAAATCTACCGTAAAAACTCCCGTCTTTTCAGAAATCTACTGTAAAAACTCCCGTCTTTTCAGAATGTACAGTAAAAACTCCAGTTTTTTCAAAACCTACCGTAAAAACTCCCGTTTTTCAGAACCTACCGCAAAAACTCCAGTTTCCAGCAAAAACTACCAAATTTTGAAAAAAAATCCCGTAAAAGTACCGCAATTTTTTTTAAATCTTCCGAAAATTTTTCATTTTAGGTTGGCAAGTCTGCATTTAATCACTTTGACTGAGCACAGTTTATAACATCAACATGTTTCCCAGAACTCTAGTTAATGAGTTGATAATGAAAATACAGAATGAAATCTTGTGCGAAGGGCTGATGTGAAAAAGTCAGTCCACTCCTTTGGGGATTGAACCCACGACTTCTCGCTTTCATTTCTTACATACTCATGTCACCCCCACAAGTAGGTGACATTATATTGTTATAGTCTCCAACTTATTTGTGGATGGTGTTCAGAGTTTAGCTTGTTTGGCATCTGTAACAAATGGCAGGTGGTGACATTTTGCATGTTAATGCCTTGTTTGTATTGTGATATAGGTCTTGATTGAAGATTGTATCCCAGTATTGAAGCAGTATTCAGAGAAGGGCAGGGTGTTTGATTACGTCATCAATGATCTCACGGCAGTTCCTTGTACAACAGAGCCAACTGGTAAGTGAACTTTGGCATATCTGAGTACATGTACCTCCAATTATTAAATCACACATTTGATGTCTTCGTTTGTGTGGTGTAAAGGTTTGCACACTGGACTCCCGATGCCAAGGTCCTGGGTTCAATCCCAGCCTGCAGCGACAGGATCCAGCTTATACTAACTAGTACACCAGAGAATTGATTACTAGAGTGATACTACTGCTGTTTCTACCTTAGTATATCAAGTTACATTATCCTACCACACGTATATGCCCTATAGTGTCTGTGTGAGATATGTAACTCAAATGAAAATGATACAAATGACATTGGATGCCCATACATTGTACATGTATTACTCCATTTAGGTAATTCTACACCATTCAAAATTTGGAATGGAATTTAATAATACAATTCTAGACATTAACAGTTAGAATGAATCTTCAACTCATTTGATATTGGCTAATAGAGATCTTCCACAAGGTCAGTGTACATGTATGTTGATTATATCTTTTTAGGAGAGCTCTGGGACTTCTTACGGCGTATACTGGACCTGTCAATGGAGGTCCTGTCACCACAGGGCAAATACTTCACTCAGGTATAAAAAATATACAACGTACAGGGTTTCCATAAAGTCTCTGCACTTTACACAGACTTTGTATTGAAATTGTAGAGACCTAATAGACACCCTGTATAGTGTATATACGACCATTGACGTTGAAATAGGAAGATGAACAAATTTATTTCCGAAAGGTCACACTTTGTGTGTCTCCATGGCAATGCATCTAATATAGGATACACTGAAAATGTTTGTTTATAAATAAATATTTTTCCAAGACAACAGTTATCTGATGAGTTATGCATCAAATATGTTTGTTTTAAATGTATTTCCAAGGAAGCAGTTATCTGTGTTTCCAAAGAAACGTACAGTTATCTGATAATGGATATGCTTTATGTTTGTTTTAAATGTGTCTCTAGGGCAACAGTTTTCTGATGAAGGATGCATTGAAAATGTATGAAGAACAACTGCAGAAGCTTAGCAGCCCTGTGGAATTTAAGAAGGAGACAGTCTGTGTACCATCCTACCTAGAAATGTATCCTTTTATGCTTCTAATGTGCAAATAAGCGTGTGGCTAATGCAATGTTCCAGCAACCATTGATTTTAAGTCAGTTATTAATTGACAAAAATAAACCAAAAATGAAACATTTATCTTTTATCTGGAAAGAACAGCACATTTTTAAAAAAAAGTGGTCACCACCTATGACCAGTTACTTTCGGTTGTTACTAGTGACATGTTGCACATTATTATGAAATTGTGCTTTTATGAAGGTGAATAACACCATCATGTTATTCTGCAAACTGGTGATCGACATTTACTTTGCATAATCTGCATATTTATGTCAATAGCCATTATTGTCGTAGTCAATTCATTGGTTGAAAGTTTTATGTAAAGGATATTTTTCAAGAATAAATTGCAGTTGCAAATTCATTTTGGGCTAAAGAATTTTTTTAAACTTTTGATGTAGTTGAGTCAAAAGTGCAATTATATGAATGTTATATCCTTGACAATCCCAAGGTGGGTGTTCTATGAAATCTGGAAGACGAATACTACACAGGCAAACACCAGCATTGAAGATTACAAGAAACCAATATGAACAAGTAGTTGTTCCTGTTGAATTGGACATTACTGTCTTGGTGTATCGCAACTCACCTAATATTGCAATATGATGAAGAAAAGGAGCACAATCAATTGGGGATAAGAGAAGGAGCACAATCAATTGGGGATAAGAAAAGGAGCAGAATCAATTGGGGATAAGAAAAGGAGCACAATCAATTGGGGATATGTAACATTATAACGGATGACATGTGGCACATTATGATGAAATGGTGATTTTATGAGGGTGGATAACAATGAATGGCAATACTACCAGGACATAGGACAGATTTGCTTGATATTTTACTGGATAACATTACACATTATTACAGACAGCACTTATTAACTGATAAACTCTTTAAGGGCACATGAGGGACCTGAGGGCATGTAACAATAATGGTAAAAGGATATGAGTCCGAGGGGCTCGATGAATCGTGGATTATATAAAGAACGTGTGTCTTGTATCAAGACCTTAAGTGAGACCTGCACAAAACTACACTACATGTATGCTTGCTATATGGACAATGCACATTTATAGCACAATCAGTATTAACATTTTTTTAAAAGGATGGTTATAAATTATAATGAAATATGGCATCGCTGTAAGCCAATTAGACTGCAGTATTAAAGGCAATTTCATAATTTGAATCTTGTCTATATTTAGGGAATAAAACTGAAATGAACTGAAACATGTGTACGCTTTTGTACTGTTTTGTACACTATGTTATGTGCGTAGTTGTATTTTCAACTGGTGATGTTCTTATGGTGCAAAGTTGCATACAAAATCTAGGACCTAGTACCTGAGGGTATAACATTTCCATAAATTCTTCTCAATGTAATGAGGCCATATTCGCTAATATCTAAACAATACACGTTTACGTACATTTTGTTTTCTAGCTTGATTAAATTATTGAATCACAAATTCATTTGGGGCAGAGGCATTCCGTTTGCAACATATTGCTATTTTCTGGATAGATTCTTATTGCAAATTATAGCAAAAATGCTCACTCAAATCCTAATTTATTGACTTATACTTTAGTAATGCATTTTTGTGAACTAAATTAGGCTGAAAACATGCAATGGACTGTGCGAGATTTCCCCATGGAAAGATAGTGATGGATGTGTAGTTTTTAAAAGATTGCATATCAGGAGCTTTCCCATTTCCATGTTCACTGGTACTCAACTAGTTACGCTTACGATACGTCAACGTAACAAGATGGAAGATAGATATTGCCAATGTGACAATATTCATGAAGATCGTCAAACTATCAATAGCTAGGGACTAAATGTGTGAATTGCGTATTCGTTAATAAACCAAACATAGAATCGCCTGCATATTCTCAAAATAAACTATCTTCCTTAACTTTGAGCCAAATTATTGTCCACAACTTGACTTATAAGTGGTGTAGAATCGAGAAATAAAAGATATCTTACCGAAAACGAAGCCCGGAAGTTCTTCCATCTTGTTACCTAACTAGGCGAGTACCAGTGATGTTATTGTTTACTGTAAAGCATTTTGATATGTTGAACATTAAACAGAGGTAGTAGGAAACATTGACCTTATAGAGGCCGTGGTAATCAAAGAATATATAAACCATAATTTGATAGGACCTCCTACCCTTTTACACCGGCACTCTGTCGCACTGATAACTTTCATGTGCTGCTATCCTAAATAGTTAAAGGAAACAAATTAAAATAGATAAAATAAATAATTAAATCATACTTTTAATATGTTTATTCTAAGAATCAACACTGGTTCTCAGCAATCAGAGTTGACGTAATAGTTTTGGTCTTTCAAGTGGTGTACATAGATAGTAAATAGTTATATATCACTTTGAAGTTGAACACCTGCATCGTCCACTTGTTTGTGCGTAGCTGAAGGTCAATAGATCGGTACAGGCATGGGCTATATATCAACCCTATGGTACAGGCATGGTACAGGTGAAGAAAAGCCCTCCGTCAGTCTGTCCGTCTTGATATAATAACTCAAGCATCACAGAACGATTTCCTCTTATTTGATGGAAATACCTTATCACACAACATCACAAATTTCTAAAATGCTACAATGTGTATTTGTATGCATGAAATGTTTATCGAATGGTTGAAACAATTACGAATTAACTCGAAATTCAAACATTTGAAAAACAAATACATTTTTCGAAAAGAATATTTTAAAAAATTGTACGGTGCCTTTAAAAGGGAACTTAGAGTTTGGCATTTATTTTGTATATCTGAATCTTTTAATTAAACTACTAAAACATACACGTATTTATGTATTTTAGAGTATAACAATTATATCGCCACTTTGATCGTATTTGGTTCAAACGTGACCTGGGTATAACATTATGGTGTGAATTGCTACTCCGTAGTATTGCCATTGTCTTGTTATTGTAAACATTTTATATTGTTTGATTATTCATTACCATTTATTAAGTAATAGCAATTGACCATTCCATTATTGCCTTTAATTGTTTCAAAGTTATCTCTATCTCTAATACAGGCTTCCGATTTGAGAGAATTGCGCAAATACAGCTGGGTATTCAAAACTGTTTATAACATTAACATGATTAATGTATCTATAATGTAGATATTTATAATTTGATATCGAGACAATTCGATTAAAATGGTCAGCCCAGGTGCATCGGATTTGAGTTCCAAGTTGACTGTTCCGCATAGCCCCGTGATTGCGGGCGTGATCTGGATTAATCGATTGTCAATGAGCAGCGGGGACCAACTCTGAGTAAACGCTGGCCCCTGATTACAGCCGATAAGTCACAAAATACAGTATCGTTTTTCCTCGATCAGTTTTAGTTAGATAATTTTTGAATAATTATCATCATACAAATATATCCCCTCTTACACGTATGCCCCACGTATATATCGCATTGATTATAAGTGCTATGCTAAAACCTTGTCACTCAGGGTCTCATCTTTTCAGAAACTACTGAGATTTACCAATGGACCACAATGCAATTATAAATAGAAAAAATGCAAACGTATAAAAGTTTTGTTTTCTTGGAAAAACAATCCCCAATAGCATTCGGATATTCTACACGAAACCATTTACTGTCACTGTTGGATCTGACCTCTAAAAATCAACTTGTCTTATTGATTATGAAGACAGTACTACTTCCTAAAATTGTAAAAGTACTTGAGATTATGGTATCAATTACGGGCACTAAGTCCACGATTAACATTGTTGAGCACACGATGACTTGTGGCTTCTAATCTCAATTTTGCAAAATCCTTGGATCTTGATTGGAAGATCGTCGAATCACATGATACTTCAAAGTGACATCACTGATCTTCATCGGCATATAAATTAGAGTGTCAAATAGAATATCTAAACAGCGGCTGCCGATCGAAGCCAAAGAACATTCTGCAGCCAAAACAAAAGCAGTGATTTACCGAAAGTCGACACTCGAGATTCCGACTCTCGTGGACGCAACATCCAGCATGGGGTCCATAACTTGGGTAGTGTGTCTTATAGTTATTCAGCAAGGTAAGCATTTTATTTTGACGTTGAGCTTTTGAATGGACTTGACATGTATCTATCCGTTCATCAATTGGGACATCTCTATCCTTTATTCTGTACTTCTGAAGTATACAATTATTGTCGATGCCAAGAGTTCTGAATATTTTTTGGTTTTTTCTTCAGTGACATCTATTATGAACTCATTTTTTGAATTAAGATAAAGATTCCTGAGAGATGGGGCATTATACATCTCCTTATACTGAAGGACACATTTTAGGATATTGGGGTTTTGTTTAATTTATAATTGGTTTTCCTCTTGCTTTTTCTTCACACCGTGTTTCATTATATTCGTTATTATATATCTCAATAAATGCGTAAATCTAGCTAACTTCTCACTTCCCATAGTATTGGCAACTTGCATATAGTTGCCTATGAAACAACAATATTACTTTGAAAGCTCTGTATGAACTTGCATTTTAGTTCAGCATTTGGTTGTCATTCTTCCTTGAAATGTTTTAGGCACTAAAGGCAGAATCAGATCCACAATTTTTCTCAAATTATGAAAATGGTAACTAAAATATAGAAAAAATACATTATGAATTCAAAATACATTTCCTGAAATACAGTATATACAATTTCGGTATTTTTAGAAAACATACATATGAGCCCAAAATATTCTGAAATTGAAACAAGATCAGTGGTGAAGTTTTTGTTAGATCTGATTCTGCTTTTAATGCTAGGAAAGCAAGCCCTGGGATGACGAAAAAAGTTTTAGCATCCTAGTCGAGGCCCTGGAAATCAAAATGAAATCGACTGTGAGCACATTTGTTTAAATCAAAACAAATAATAAACATCCGATGTACTGGAGATGCCAGTTCTAATATTAGTTAACTTATATATATATATCAATAAACTAGCTTTTGACTTTTGACCACACATACCAAGTGACACATGTTTGTAGTGTATGATTATCTTTAATAACAAGTGACTTCAAAGTAGTAGATCACACCGTCCTTCACATGTTAGTCGAATAAACAATGGCTTCGAATCAAGACCCTTTCATAAAAGTCGTACAGTGAATATCGTATTGTAATTGTACACAGTGTCAGTGTTTCATTTCAGTGTTTCTATGAAACTGTTCTTCAAGAAATCTGCTGCAAACATGTGTTAAATGTGTATGTGGTGAGATTTCAAATATGTTTTGCTTCACGTCAATTTCAGCTGGTTCATTTGTAATCTGATCATTTGTTGGCAAACAAACTTCTAGATTAAAAACAAAGATGTGACTCATGCAGTGGATCTCTTCTTCGCTTTCTTTGCAGCACGAAGGAATACGACACTTGTGTCAATTTTAAGTATTATGAAAGTATTATGTGCAGGCCCGTAGTCAGGATTTGCCAAGGGGGGGGGGTCACTTTTTGGAAAATTCCAGGGGGGTCACTTTTGACAATCTTGGTCCAAAAATGGCCAAAATCACTTAAAAAACGCTCAGAATGGTGAAAAACTGCATAATTTTGAAAGAATTTTTGACCAGGGGGGGGGGGGGGGTCCGCTAATAATAGTTGGAATGGTGTGACATTCTGACAAGCCACAGATACAAACGTCATGTTACAAATAAGTATGACCTCATGGTTGACTATCAAGTCACAGTTTACTCTACTTTGCTCAACGTTTTTTATGTTTAATTAATGGGTTCAATAATGGCCTTCTAAAATTCTATATTCCAGTACTTGCACAATGTCCCCCTCGTGTACCAGAATACTCAAAGCCCCAGGAGAACAGACTGTGGAGAAATACTCCCATGTACGACCTGATTATCTATGGCACAAAGCCTGGAGAGGAGCTCATGCCATTAAAACAATACAATGGTGAGTAATTCAGTTTGCCAAATATTTGGATAATTTTTCATGTTTTACTCAGGTCTTTGCCTGGGATGTACGAGGTTATTCCTTCATGTCGTTCAGATTACACATTTTTTTTTTTTTTTTTTTTTAAAATTAAAGTTCCTTTCTAAGACAAGGAGAATGAAGGGAATTGAGTATAATTTCTAAAAAAATTACTCCTTAATTAGTATATCTTTTACTTTTTTTAATGTTGTGAGATATCTTCAAAACGCATCAATATAAGATGCAGCATTGTCCAAATTAATTAAAAATGAAAAAACAGATGGTCACATTTTTGCCATTTTTATCATGAAATAAAGTCAGAAATGTTGTGCAATGTGCATGAAATGGAATGATATGATGACGAGCAAAGATTTTTTATTTAAAATTGTGATAGGTTTTTCAAAACTTACTCTTGAAGTCATTTATTTAGACTTGTCGCGATACTTTCTACTTCTTTTAATAAAAAATATGATACTTACTTCTAAATAAAATATAATGTAAACAGGTTTAAGGGCTCGTTGTATAGAGGGATAATTTGTTTCTGTAAAATGATTTGTAGTTAACTATGTTTGTAGTTGCTGTAAGATCTCTTAACCCAAAGAAATCTTTCCTCAAATTTCGACTGGTCTCCGAGTCCGAAGATGAAGTTTGTGGTTTCGGCCATTTCCGCCAGAAGCCGTATGACAAGTATCAAACTTGGGATGAATGTCCTTTCATGGTTACCAACCGAGATGATAATAAGAAGCCAATGTCCAAAACAACAATTAGATGGACGAGCCCTGAATGTGGATGTGTCACAATAAGGTACTAGATAGTATTAAAGATGTAAAATCCCTTTTTACAATATTTGCATTGAACATTTTATGTAAATACGGTATGTACATTTTAAATTGCGTAATTTCAAGACGTATTTTAAAGCGAGCTGCTCGAATGTCTCAAGTACTATTCTAGTAAGTTTCACTATTCACGTGTCATACTATTCATCTTTTAGGATGGCTAAAAACTTTTCTAATTAATTATCGATTATCCACTGTCATTTCCATTGATCCATATTCCAATCATCATCTCTGTTAATTTTATTGAGCTAATGTCTTACTCGTTAAAGGCCCCATACGAATTATGTTTGTATCACCCATCTACTATTTTCTATATATTTTCTATAATGACTTTAAAAGTTATTTTAGAGATTTGTTAAAACTAGAGAATTTTTTTAAAAATAAAATTTGAAATTTTTAATCAAATATTCCACTACAGTTGGAGCGACTGAAGCCTTGTGAATCAAGATGAAATATGATATCACACCTTAATTAATCTCTCTGATCTTTGATTTCAGCGCTGTAATTATTTCGGACGATGAGACCAGTCACATTGCCAATGATGACCATTTGACAAAGAGATTCTGTATACAAGGTACGACAATACCATACTTCACTTACCAAAACATCTCTTGTATTGCCCAGTACAATCTAAGCTACATATTACACGGGGACTATCCAGGCCCCGCTGACATCGCGAGCAATAGGCTCATGCTAGAAGCAGGGACTTGCGAGATATGAGATATGATAAAATTTCTTTGAAACTTAAGGAAGTGAAACTCGGCACAGCTTTATTTCATAGTGCAATGGCTATATCAATTGCAGACGTTCTTCAACTATAATTGGTCATGTCTCTCAAGGCCCCGCTTCTAACATGAGCTCATTGCTCGCGATGTCAGCGGGAACTTGCTCGCGATATACGGGCTTGGATAGTCACCGTGTATTATCTACATACATGTAGCTACATCCGTTTTAAAAAGATATATAATCTGAGCATAAAAATCATTGCATTGGAATTCTAATTAATTGAGCAGTATGTTGCCTATTGGATTTGCTGCCATGGTCCATCTTTATTAAACAATAATGGGATACACAAACGCAATATGATTTTATAAGAATATACCTTTTTGATAAATCCTGCTACAATTTCCTAAACCAAGGAAGCTAGAATTCAGAAACCCATGGTTTTTTCCTCTCAGATTGGCCAGGTTCCATGGTTTATGCCCGTGCTGCACATACCTATTCAAATTATTTAGAGTGACCCCCCAGGCCACGACCACCACCTGTAACATCATTAATCTGGCCAATGTACCCTGGTTTATTTGGGGTTTTAGGATTATTGGAGAGGTTAATTGACATTGTATTGTATTGCACGAATCTATTATTGAACTGATCTTGCAATTGCATGTGGAATTTCAGGTGTGAAGCCGGTTAACAAAACACCTAAGGATGACAAGGAGCTGCCTGTTGTGAAATTGCCTCCACTTTTAGTAAGAGGTATGTTAAGTACTGGGTGACCCAAAAATGCATCCTTTTTTAAACAACAGTCAATAATGATAAAATTACCATCACCTTTACCACTACAATTCGAAATTGGTGTGACCTTATACTGTAGAATGAAAATGTTCAATCAAACAAACACTGATATACTCATATATTACTATAGTATCATTCGCTATCACAGAAAAAAGCATCATCCTTTGCATCAAGTTGTTTTTAAATAAAGGTGTTGAAGTTCGGTTAACCTCACATCACCATTATTTACAATAAGCACTTCATTTCTTTATAGCTTTCAAACAAATAATCGTTGAAGTATCCTCTATTGATACATTTATCTTTTACATGCAGCATTTCTATTATCTTCACGACCTGTAATGTACATTTTTGTGAAAGAAAGGTTGATAAAAGGAATTCATATTTATTGCATTCAAAGATATTAATATGTCTCTGTTGCATTTTATACAACAGGCGAGCCCATAATACCAGAAAAATCTGTCAACCATGTTGTACCATCTAAAAACAATGTTGAAAAGGAATGGATTGGGCTTGAAGATGAGGAGCCATACTATGACATGGATGAAGATGAGGACTTTGACTACAACAGTTATGATGAAGGACTCTCCGAAAAAGACAGTGGCATTGAGAAAGAAGACGACCCTTACTACGATGATTCATCCTATGATCTTTCTGCGGAATCAGACAACAGCTTTGATTATACATTGGAAGAAACGGACAAAGACAATTTTTCTGATGAGTCTATTGAAAGCAGCCCTGAAGATGAGTATGAATCAGAATACCTTGATGGTTATGATGGAAGTAATGAGGACATGAGTATAAGTGATGAGGAGTTCGAATATGATGATTCCCACATGGTTGGTGTTGGTGAAGATGCTAGCGATGAGAGCGAAGATAGTGATTCAGATGAAAGAAGCAATGAAATGGAGAAGGCACTTGGCAGAGGGTGGCAATGGTGGAAAAGGGTCGGTGGGAGATTGGGAGGCATGTATCCTCGCAAAGGAAGACACCACCACAATAAACCAGGCCATTTCCATAGAGAAAAAATTGCAATGGTTGGCAAAACAGTCAAAAAGCATTTAGACAAAGCAAAGGGTATGATTGAAAAGATTGGAAATGGAAATGCTGGTGGAATGTGGAGAAATATAGAACAGGGTATACAGGCAGTCAAGGGCGTTTTTAAACCAGATATGGGACGATTGCAACCACATAGGGGACATGGAATGAGACAAAAGGTATGGGGAATGGGACCAGTGCGACCTGGTATGAGACCACAAGTGCCAAAACCTATGATACCTGGTATGAAACCCCGATGGGCAGGGAAACACACAAGACCAGGCCACAGGGGGCACCATATGAGACCTTGGCAAGGACACAGACACCATGAGGTACATGTCAAAACAATTACCCAACCAATGCTTATTTTGTACACATTTTTTTACATTTCATCGAGCTGACTTTTATGTCGATTAGCCATTTGGTCAGTAATTGAAGGATGGTTGGTTCAAGAGACTTTTCAGCTCATTGATTTAACTTCATATTGTAATTTTCATTTTAGAGAAGCAAAGACTGGAGTCAAAGAGTGGAGCACATTTGTGCAAAGATTAGTGAGGAAAGTAACATGGGTACCTTTAAGCCATGGGGATGGAAAGCCATGTGGCATCGTATTGAACAGTTCTGGGCAAAGGTAGATGGCGATGAAGACACAGACATTGAAGAGATAGCTCGGGAAAATCTTGAGGCTAGCAAAAAGTGTTGTGCTGAGGTATGTGATGCCCATGTAATACCTAAAGATACAGTAGCTTACATTGAATATGTAGACTTCAGTTTCGTTCATTTTCTGAACGTTCATTTGATGTTGTAGGCTGGTGATGAACGTATGGATTGTTTCCAAGATCTGAAGGAAAGGAGGGTCGACATGATGTGTGAGAAGGGACTACCTGCAAATAGTGGACGATGGATCAAGCCATGCCTTAATATTGCCATTGAGAAATGCTGCGACTTTAAAGGTAAAATAAGTCAACACTAAACACTCCCTTTTACTGGTAATTTGAGTTTAGAGCTAGCTATTGGTCTATATAGCAAAAATAATTTGCAATTATAGTTCGTGGACACTGTTAAGTAATTGTTAAGTTAATTAATAACTGCCTATTGGAAAGTGATCTGTTTTCGCATTATATTCTGAATTGTTGTGACATAAGCGTCAATCACAATTATTCTACGGCGGCCGTAGATTCACAAAATCGATATAGAAAATCTACATCGGATTGCTTATCCCTATGTTTCATGCTGCATATTTCTCTCGATTTTGGGAAGCTGTGGCGCAGTATGGTTGCTGTAGATCAATCGTAACTGGGACATTAGAGAAAATACCTAACTAATCACTGATTAAATTTATTTAGCTGTAAACTTGGATACTGAACAAAAATCTAGTTTAAAAACAGATAAAACATTCCATTTTACAGTGTAGGTGCCTATGTATGATACATACAAATCGAAATTATTGAATTATATGTTTATTTAGGTGAAGATCGCTATGACTGCTTCAATGAAACCAAACAAGAATGGAAGGCTAAAGCACAAAAGACTAACACTGGGTGGCACAAGAAGTTCTGGGGAAAGGAGAGTTCTGATGAGAGTGATGAAAAGTATTCAGGAGAATCTGAATCTAGTGAAGCCTCATCCAGTGAAAGTTCAGAAGATTCACAAACATCCTCGTCCTCCTCATCATCATCATCTAAGTCATCATCAGCAAAATCCTCATCAGCAATATCAGCATCCTCCAACGAAGAACTAGATAGTGCCATTGACGTTGTGATGGATGAAATTGATGAACTGGAATTCTCTGAGGATGAACTAACGATAGATGATCTAAAAGAAGCGGAAAATGACACAGTTGATGAACTTGATGAGAGTGTTGAGGTTACTGATAGTGACAGCGATGAGGATGACTCTAGTGAGGAAGGGAAGAAGCCATGGGGTAGGAGACGCAAACATAAACACCACCCAAGACACAGAAGAAGGGGAAGAGGTGAGCATGCTTAATTTGAAATATAAAAAAACAAAAAACTTATTTATGAGTTGCTCATTCAGTTTATCAAAAAGGTAATACATTATGTGTAAGTTGATAATCAGAAACAAGAGTTTGGTGGTGAGGAAATTGGGAAATAGGACACAATATAACTGTATACTTACATGTATGGTGATATCCATTTCAGCAATGGTATTGAAGCATTACTGCTGTAGAGCAGGATTCATCATAGCGAAGAAGAGCAACAGAACGGCAGTGTGCAGGAACAGAGCCAGAGATTTTGTCATGAAGTTCAGAAGGTTAACAGGAATGGCCAAGAGAATTTGTTTCGTATCATTCAATAAATGCTGCAGCAAAATTTCAACACCAAAGTAAGTTTTCATATTTTGAATAAAGTAATGTTTTCAGGCCACAAAATTGATGTCTAAATATTATTGACCAGTTTGGGCATAAATATGTAGTAAACAGAAAAATAAAACAATCACGTAAACCCCTATATTAGTACAATTTTTAATCATTTCTTATCATGTAGAGGAAAGCCTCTCGGTAAACATAATGCTTCTGGGCAATCCTCTCACAGTAAAGTTTAGATAAACAGGTTGAATTTTATTTTCACAGACCAACAATAACAACAGTCAAACCAACTACCACAACAACTGCAATGTACACGACTACCACAGAGGTAAGATCCCTTGATATAAAATGATTCAATTCACCTGTATGTGAATACGTTTAACATCAATACAATCAAGAATAACAGACAAAAATCAATTGGTGTCGCACAGTTCTTCAAGCATTACAATATCATTTAGATTGTTCAATTAGATTTAGTCATTTTGGTAATTCATTTCCTATTCGAAAGCCCATTTCAACAGTTGTGTTTTCTTTTCATTAGGCAGAAGATTTGGAAGAAGTTGCCAATGAAATCTCTGAAATAGAGTTCTCCAGAGGTGAGATCAGTGATGATGATATAGAGCAGGCAGAAAGGGAGACTGTTGCTGAGCTGGAAGCTGATGATGACATAGATGATGAACAGGAAGAGAAGATGCAGAAAGACAAAGGACGACCAATGATGCGCAAACATAAGAGGAAACACCATCGTAGACGTAGAGGAAAAAGTAAGAGTTTGAACAAATGATACATCAATCAAAACATGTCAATAATTTATGATAGGACATTTAACCTGAGAGTATCATAAAATATTTTATGTTACTCCCAGATTTAACACACGGTATCAGTCTGACAGGAATACACTAATGTGATGATATTTTTTGAGAAATTAAAATCAGGAAATGACAGAATGCAAGTCAGCCAGTTTAATAACAGAACAAATCCACAATGGTTGAAACATATATGCCATTGAAACCTATAGTATACAGTAAACCATTTCTGATGTAATCCTAGAATGTAATGCAATTCAGGTCTTCCAATCCATGAACAATATTTTAAATTACAGATATACCTCTGCTGAAGAGAAAATGCTGTAGAGCGGGACGCATGCAGGCCAGAAAGGAGAAGACCCATGAGACAGCTGTCTGCAAGAGTGATGCATTTGGCTTCTTGAAGAGACTTAAGAGAGTTGGACCATTCGCAAAGAAGATTTGTTTCTTCAGCTTCAAAAAATGTTGTAGTTATGAACCTAGGTGAGTGAAAAGAACTTATGTGGGTCAATTTTGGGAACAATTGTCATAAATTAGGATTAAGTCGCAAGTTATTGTTGAACAAAAACCAGAGATTTGTTTTCTTGGATTTGTAAGTTTCAATCATTTCAAAAACAGACCAGGATCTAATTTGATGAAATATTGATACACTGATATTTTTGAAGTGTCAAGAAAATGGATTCTGTGTTAAAGAATTTGAAATACCTTTGCTCTGCCTGATCTTTTAATGGACTTTATTTAGTTTTTATTGTTCAATCAAAATTTCTTGAGTAGTTTCAGTTCCTCGAACAGCAATGACCTTCACTTTTTATGTTATCCCTTGTCAATTTCAGGACCACAACAACTACGGCACCTACCACCCCTAAGCCTACAGCTACAACCACAGATGACTACTCATATGAGGACATGTTTGACATGGACGACCTGAGTGAAGAGAATTATTAAGAATATACCTGATGATCAAACCAATCTGAGATGCAGTATAACCAGTGTAAGTGGAACACCCCTGGGACCTCTAAATAGTGTTCCACTTTACAGGTTTTACTGTACAAGACAATACTCCATCTACAATGTAACATTGGTGCTATAAACAGCAGTCATTAATATCAATGTATGAGCAATGCAACTACATAATTAAACTAATGACACTTATGCAAAGGTTCTCACCACAGATGATCAATTGCAAAATGAACTATAGTCTGTAGATCAGTTTTTTATATTATGTACATATCATCATGAACATGTCCTACCAATGCATGTATAAAATAAAGCAATAAAATATAATGTATACATAATTTTGAAGCTTAAATATAAATGTTTGATTTGTCCAATGACCTCAATGATATAATCTTTATGAATTATGTTATTGTTTGTCCCATTTTGCAATAACGCAGATGCGAGTAGGTAGTTACCAGATTCACCACCAGGTGGCTCGTTCGGGTCAGATAGCATGGCGGGTATAGGAGAAAGTTCACTTAAACTTAAATCACATCTGTTTTAATGATTCAATTTTCATATAACCCTTATGTATCTAATAGTTATGCAAACTAAAATATGTCCAGTAAAAGAAAATGTTATCTATCCAATACAAGAAAAGATATTTCACTTTTTGTGATTTTGTATCATGGGGTCTATGGGGAATCAACCCGAACAAGAAGTCACATTTTCAAAAAAAATTAAATTTTGAAAGTTGATAAACAATTTTTGAAACCATATTTCTAGATGTACTTTTACATGCAGATTTCAAATATGACATCACCTTGACTGAATTTTGAATATTTAATGACGTAAATCAAGATTATTTCTACTCGCACCTAGTCTATTGTTGGCAATATACACCTAGTCTAAACACATGCGACTAATTGGCTCTAAAAATTCAAGGGAATATTTATAATATGTTTACATCTTGAAGTACCAGTTGATAACTTCTGACCCAAAATTATCGCAAAAAGTTTTGGTTTAAATGATATGTAACTAAATAATAGACATTGATGTAATTGTAAGCAGTACGGTCAAGCTAATTCTTACTTTCATAAAAGGAGATTTGTATTAATATTCAATCGATTGTGCAAGGTAGGCCCATATACGGGTTGCACTGGGAGGTTTTGAATACAGGGTTTATCCTAAGGGGAATATGTGTATCGGTACTCTGTATATACTGAGGTTCTAGGTACATTATGCCTCAGTTCAAAAACATACACATTTTCTTAAAAGTAGTTTTTAAGATTGTGAGATTTCCACAGTCATGTTTTATCCTTTACTGAAGGAAACAGTGGTGAATTGGGTCCAAGGCCTGTCACACCTCCCACTTTAAGATGAGCCAAAAATATTAAATTGTCCCTCTCCACATAAAGTAGATAAAATAAAAGAAGCTGACATTACTGTACTGGTCATTTATTTGGGTATAATTCTTAAGAAATTTGGCCTCAATCTTCGAATTGGAATCCCTTTTTTGCTCAAGTGCCAATTTTCTTGCACATAAATTAATTTTTTTGATTTAAACTTTTAGCTTCTTGATTTGCAGGACCACTCTTGGGATAAATCACAATTGAATGTCATAAAAAGTTGGCTAGTGTGTGCAAAATTTCACTTTTACTATTGACCATGCACATTGTTTTTCGGAAATTCCTATAATCAAATAAAAAATAAAATAAACAGAATATTTAGATATGTAACATGAACAGATCTGTATATTGCATAGTCTTATAAATTAGTACTAACTACAGTTAAACCCTGTATATCTGAACACTTCTGTAATCCGAACACCTTTCAACATGAACACTTTCTCCATTGACTCCCTTGGTCAGGAAACACTGAAATGTGAACATACACTTTTGATCAGACCGAGGGGTGTTCAATTTAGACAGGATTTACTGCACATTGTACTTTCCAAATACATTCCATGTACTACACACACATATATAATATTGGCACAACATTCATTTGAACATATTTATTTTGAAGAAAAAATTGCACTGAAACCCTATGTACAATGTACATAATGGTACATAATACAAATTGTATACATGATGTACTGTTAATTTAATATGTACAGTAAATATATTATGTACACCTCAGAAAGAAATGAAAGAATGAAAAAATAAACATGCAGAATATAGAATAACATGGTTATTCTATATGGTATGGCATAAGTTTGGTATGTATGTATGGATGTATATTCTGGTATGTACTGTGGAAATATTTCCTGCATACACAATACACATAATGAATGAATGTTCAATTAATGTAATGCACATGTATGGAATGCACAATGCATAATAAACATAATATACAGATTACATGATGTACAGTTTGTTGTAATGACATTCTCCATGCATAGAACATGCCAAGAGGTACACTTAAACACTATGCATCGAAAACATCATTAGGACAGGTATTTACTAAGATATTTTCTGTATTTCTTTTGGAATAATGTAGAATTGATGACATGTTGACAGGAAAAGGGGCCGTTGGAGTTTAATTTCTAAAGTGCATTGGACAAAAATTCCAAACTGGAATTTGATGGATTTTTAATTTGGCAGATCTTCTGAATCTGTCAAATTAAAACAGGAGCCAAATTAAAGTGCATCTTCAGTTTCAGAAACAGTACTTATCTCACTCAATTTAATTTGGTAGCAGATTATCTAATCTGGAATATGGCAATTATGAACTCATATATCATTGTAATCTATTATCCATCATGACAATACAAGAGAAATAAATAAGAAAATTATCATCTGGCTATGAAGTTAACTAGATAATGGCAACTCCGCGGAGTAGCAAATCCCAAAGAACAAATATCAATTACCGAATTCCAATCAATTATACTCATTACTTTGGTTAAAATTGAAAAATTTAGATTTTAGAATTGCGAATTCCTGCAAAGCAGCCATTTTTTATTTTCTGAGGTACAAATCTGAAAAATAATACCATAATTGTGATCTACTCCAAAATTCCTTCAATTTGAGTATTATATAGCCATACGAAGGGATCGAAAAATTATTGCGAAATCGTACATTAGATGGCCATTTTGAATTTTACGAGGCTCGAATCAGAAAAAAGATACAATATTTGCAATCTACTCTTAATTGCCTTTCATTTGAGTATAATAAAGCTATACTTCAGAAAGATCTACAAATTAGCGAAAATTTCTGTTTTCCTGACCCCCATACACAGCCCCTGGGGGTCAGGATGAAAAACACTGAATATATGTGAAATAGATAGATGTTGCGAATATACTACCAAAATTTCAAACAACAATATTAATTACTTTGGTTTAGAATGGAAAATTTATAATTTTTGCGAAAAAGTCCCGTCATTTTTAAAGCGGTGGCCATCTTGAAAAAATCCATTTTGAATTTTCTGAGGTACAAATCTGAAAAATAATACCATAATTGTTATCTACTCCAAAATTCCTTCAATTTGAGTATTATATAGCCATACTTTGAAGGGATCTAAAAATTATTGCGAAATCGTACATTAGACGGCCATTTTGAATTTTACGAGGCTCGAATCAGAAAAAAGATACAATATTTGCAATCTACTCTTAATTGCCTTTCATTTGAGTATAATAAAGCTATACTTCAGAAAGATCTAAAAATTAGCGAAAATTTCTGTTTTCCTGACCCCCCATACACGGCCCCTGGGGGTCAGGATGAAAAACACGGAATATATGTGAAATAGATAGATGTTGCGAATATACTACCAAAATTTCAAACAATAATATTAATTACTTTGGTTTAGAATGAAAAATTTATGATTTTTTCGAAAAAGTCCCGTCATTTTTAAAGCGGCGGCCATCTTGAAAAAATTATTTTTGCGTAAAACTTTTAATCAATACACATCTTTCCACCAAATATGAAGAAAATCCGTCTACTAATATTTGAGTTATCTTCCGGACAGACGGACGGACGGACTGACTGACGGACGGAGGGCTTCACTATATCCCTACCGAACTTCGTTCGTTGGGATAATGATATAAGGTCCAGTGATAAGATATATATGTTAAGCCATTTCTCACATAACAGCTGTTTTGAGACTCATTTCTCTGTTAATATACCTTGAAACTGAGTTGCACGAGAGACCATCTATCTTGCATAAATGGTGTACATAAGAATGGTCCCACGTGATAAAGAGAATACCCAACAATGGTAGTCACAATTACGAATAACAAAGCCAAGGTAATAACGCAGATGCGAGTAGGTAGTTACCAGTTTCACCACCAGGTGGCTTGTTCGGGTCAGATAGCATGGCGGGTATAGAAGAAAGTTCCATTTAACTTAAATTTGTTTTATTGGTTCAATTTTCGTATAACCCTTATATGTATCTAATAGTTATGCAAATTTAAATATGTCCAGTAAAAGAAAATGTTATCTGTACAATACAAGAAAAGATATTTCACTTTTTGTGATTTTGTAACATGGGGTCTATGGGGAATCAACCCAAACAAGAAGTCACATTTTCAAAACAAAATTAAATTTTCAAAGTTGATAAACAACTTTCGAAACCATAATTTTAGATGTACTTTTACATGTAGATTTCAAATATGAATTTTGAATATTTAATGACGTAAATCAAGATTATTTCTACTCGCATCTGGTCTATTAAGAATGTTATTTTTATCTCCAGCCTGCCACTGAGTTGGACTGAAAAGAAAACCTGCATTCCATGTATCTTTAATTATAGAGTATTGTCAATTTCTTAGATTTTCATTTGCTGAGTCTTCCTTTTTTACCTTACAGGAAATTATGTACCATATAATATTACAGAAAATAAGTCTACATCTGATTCATTAAAAAGAAAACTCTAGAATATTCCTTTTTGGGCTATCCTCACATGCATGACTGATGAACAGTTAAACATCCCCATGTATGAACGCTCCAGTTTGGTTTATCATATAGGCTTTTTCAAGTTGGGAGCTTATCCTCTGATCCCTAAGACCATTGCATAAATCCGGATAAACTGACATCCATGTATCTTATTCAATCCTCTTTCTTTTCACTAGCTTCTTTCAGCTTAATCCTCTGCTGTAACATTTCAATCCTCTCATCTTCCTCAAGTTTTGCCCGATATTGTAGGTATATGATATATCGGCATAGTAACAGCAAAGAAAACACAAGTGCTGGGGCCATACGTTCAAGTCCTTCTTTAAGAGCCCAATGAGTGTAAACGGCACCAAGCATTTCAAAAAATAATATGAGATTCGCTACTTCTTTCATAGGACCTGAAATCAAATAATTTATCATAAAGTACACATGTACCTTGTGATAATCACAAGCAAATAACTTTTTATGTGTCCCGTCCTTATTTAATTACAAATTATCAATTTAAAAAAAAGTTAAAATAATGCTCTCCCATAGACAGGCATCAGCACCATCTATCTTCTAACAATGAATTTGAACTGTGAAGATGCTATACCTGGGATAATTGCTAAAGTTGAGCCACAGAGCACCTCAGTTACACCTACTGCCTTACGATATGTGTGTGCATTGGGTTTCCAACCAGTCTGATTGACAAACGGGAACACTTTCGCCTCCCTTATGAACATTTTTCTCTGAAAGGAAATATTAATATGGCAATAAGCATTGATGTAAGTGACAGGGCAAATGAAAGTGACTGTGAGTAAAATGTTGGAATTAAAGCTTTCAAAGAACATTATCTTCATTACATTTAGTACAATCCTTTAAATAGCTAAAAGGGCGGGGTCAAGGGCCGGATGTCAAGTCTAATGCCAGGAACCTGAAATCTCAAGTCTAATTTCAAAAACCTCCAGTCTCAAGTCTAATATCAAGAAACAGATGTCTCAAATCTAATGCTGAAAACATTATGTCTAATGTCAAGGGCCTGGTGTCTCAAGTCTAATGTCAAAACCTTACATCTCAAGTCTAATGTCAAGAAACCGATGTCTCAAGTCAAATGTCAAAACCTTATATCTCAAGTCTAATGTCAAGAAACCGATGTCTCAAGTCAAATGTCAAGGACCTGAGGTCTCAAGTCAAATGTCAAGGACCTGAGGTCTCAAGTCTAACATCAAGAAACTGCTGATACCTCAAGTCTAATATCAAGAACCTACTGCCTCGAGTCTCAAGTCTAATGTCAAGGACCTGAGGTATCAAGCCTACATACAGTGTATATATGCAGAGACATATATAGAACATGTTTTATATGTCTCTGATTTAAGAAACTGATCTCAAGTCTAATGTCAAGAACCTAGCTGATGTCTCAAGTCTAATGTCGAGGACCTGAGGTATCAAGTCTAATATCAAGAACCTGATGTCTCAAGTCTATAATATCAAGAACCTGATGTCTCGAGTCTCAAGTCTAATGTCAAGAACCTGATGTCTCGAGTCTCAAGTCTAATGTCAAGAAGGTACCTGATGTCTCGAGTCTCAAGTTAGTTCAACAAGTTAAACCCAATACCACGGCTTTTATTTTTTAATCTGAATGTTCGTGTTGCCGTGGTTGGGTTTAACTTCCGTGCTATGCTTTCGTTTGTTGCAAATTCCCACCATCAGTTATTAATTAAACGCGCATCGAATTTCATGCGGAACCATAGGCCACCATTAAATTTTTTTGCATCAAGGGCTGAATAGGCACGGAAGTTAAACCTAGGGCGGGCCACAAGATATGTCAGATAAGAAATAAGGCCCAGACTAGGTTTAACTTGTTGAACTAGTCTCAAGTCTACTACAATGTAATGTCAAGAACGGTACCTGATGTCTGGAGTCTGTAATGTCAAGGACCTGAGGTCTAATTCCAAAAACCTGTGTAAATTCTAAAATGAAAATAGTCACTATTGCTTTTTAAAAGTCTCTTGTGCTTTTCACTTGCTAACAGGCAAAAATGGAATGGAATTGAAATTTCTGGAAAAATTAGAATTTTTCGGTGTCTAAAAATCTCAATAAGTTTGAGTGTGATTCACAAAATTGCTAAGCAAATAAAATAAACTTACCATCTCCTTGTATACATCTGCGTTTAAAGCTGGAGTTAGCTTAATAGAGCCCATGAATATGAAAAAGAAGCCAATGGTCATGGACAAAGCAGTCAAAGCTACAGACGCCATCTTTACTTAGTGTGCGATTACACCACCAGAGGCGCTGTGATTTGTTTATTATTGAATGTGTGGGAACAAGGGTGTGGGAATTTGATGTTTGACTATGACTCATGTATTTGTCATGAGTTATTTCGGTGTATGTTGTAAATCATTTACTGTTATAAATTTACTGTAACGTTGCAGAGGTCACTATAAGACATCCATACACATTTAGGCAAAAGATCAATAACAACCACTCCAGCAATACTGAGAAATAACGTTACGAATATGAGTGAAATTCAAGTTGAGAAAGTTGACCAGCCAGATTTGGCAAAACATGATTCCAGTGTTTTGGACCTTGCATTTGCTATGGATTGTACTGGGAGCATGTCCTCATACATACGCAGTGCTCAGAGGGTAAGTAAGAGTTTATATCATAAGTATATTTTTGTATTCTTTGTTTTGTTTGTTTATATCCAGTATTTGTGGTGCTTTAATGCCACCCCAGGTCAAAATAATAGCATACTGTACATATTCAGGGTAATCATTACATGTAGCTAATGATTATGAAACAAATAGGTAACAAATAGTATAGCAATGTGACATGCAAATGAGATAATCATTCAGGGTAATCATTAGCTAATGATTGTGAATTTAATGAAACATTGATTTCTTTCTTAATCATTCAGTAATCATTCAGTAATTATTCAGAAACAAATAGTTAATTATTCAGAAACAAATCAATAATTATTCAGAAACAAATCGGTAATTATTCAGAAAGAAACCGTTAATTATTCAGAAACAAATCGTTAATTATTCAGTAATTATTCAGGTTATCTGACTCATTTTCTTCTTTATCAAGACCCTGTTGCCTCTCCTGGAGCTGTGTTGTATTATTCTGACTAATACATGCTCATATAGAGGTGACATATACTCCAAATTAATTTATATTTATCTGCTCAGAAACCTAGGGCTAAAATGAGTGTTTGTGCCTAATCATGTATGGGGAACAACCCAAAATTGATCAAATTCAAAAAAATATCTTGAATTCAAATTCATTAGAATAGTAGAGATAAATATGAATAAGTTTCAATCTAAACATGTTCTACATACCTTTATGATTATGTTGATCAAGTTTCAAGATAGTCTAGCCACCCTTCAGGTTGTTTATGCTCACTTTTATTAGACAAATAATTCTCTCACATCTTAACCAAATTTTAACGTCTGCCAATGTGGGGTTTCTCATTCTAAATCATGGACTTTTAGGTAATCATTCAGAAACAAATCGTTAACGTTAATCACTCAGTAACAATTCGGAATAAAAAATTCCAAGTTAATCATTCAGAAACAAATCTTTAATTATTCAGTAACTATTCAGATTATTAATCATTCAGAAACAATTCAATTAATTATTCAGAAACTAATCAGACGTTGCTTTTAAATTCTTCAGGTTTTCTGATTAATTCCTGAAGGATTCAATAATCATTAGCTAATGATTATGAAATGATTTTTGTGTGGGACCTTATATAGTCTCTGGTGCTGGTTTTCACTTTGTAGTGTCACTGATGTGGTTTACTCTGTTGTTTTGTAAGAGTTTATTTTGTTTTTGGTTTTGCTTAAAAGTCCTTATCTACTTATAACTAATGTTTTATTTACACTTAAAATCTTTTGCTTTTTATGATGTAGGTGCGTAGTACATCATATAGCTTTTTATTCATGTCCTTGTTTAGTGTTTGATTTTCACCAGCAAGGGTTTTCAGATCCACTGCACATGTATTTCCACTCTCTAGAAGTATACAGTCTGCATCATATAGCATTTTATCCCTTAGATCCTGGAGTTGGTCGCATTTAAATAAGTAATGGTCAACTGTCTCTGGTTGGTTGCAGTTTAAATAGAGGTTAGTACTATGTATAGGATTATTTTCTTCAGATGGCTGTTAAGTCTGGTGTGACCACTAAGGAGTTGGTTTGTAATGCAGAAGGTTCTTCTGTCAGATTCACCTAGTAAAGGTCTCTTTCCTACCGACCCGGGCCTACCGACTCAATAGACCGTTGGATATACCCCACTATTTTTGAATTGTTATATTGCCTTTGCCATTTAGACTTTGAAGTTGAGTGTATTTGACTGTATATCTCTCTTTTAGTTATTATTCTACTATCTTGACTGAGTATTTTAGCCGATTGTGCCGCCTGTTTGGCGTGTTTGTCAGCCAGCTCGTTTCCATTAATGTCTAGATGACCAGGTATCCAATGATACTTTATGCTGATTCCCTTTTGGGAAAGGTTTTTACATGTGTTTCTTATTATAGAAATAGAATTTAGTTGATTTTTGGGGTACCCGTTTCAAAAACAGAAGTTAGAGCGGGCTGACAATCGCAGAAAAGTAAGGTATCTCTGCACAGTGGTGTTTTGTCAAGATATGTGAGAGCAAGTTCTATGGCTTGGACTTCTCCTATGTACAGGTAGTTATTGCTAGAACAGCTAATGGGTCTTTCTAGGCAGACAGGTTCCCCTCTAAGCCCTTGTAGGTAGATTATTGCAGCCACCCCTGTAGGTCCTGGGTTGCCTAGACTTGAGCCATCTGTGAAGACTACTGTAACATTATCAGGACAGTTGTTTATAATATTCTTCAACTCCATGTGATTTTGCTACTGGTGTATTGGCTTCTTGATGAAAGCCATGTAATGAGGTATTTCATGTAGTAAATTAAAGGGAGTGTGGGGGGGGCATAAAATATACCTTACCTTGCTGGCCTCATAAGCACAATAAACTGTATGTGTGCACTGCTGTGCATATAGCTGGGGGGAGGGGTAATGCTTGGGTAGAGTGGGGAAGGGTAATATGCAGGTACAGGTACATTTGAATTAACATTACAGTGCATATATTTATTTGTAGAGCATACACAAAATTGTTGAGGAGATTGTAGCCAAGGAGCAATCGGACATCAACCTTGCTTTGGTGGAGTACAGAGACCATCCTCCTCAAGACAGTTCTTTCGTGACCAGACCACATGACTTCACCAACAAAGTAGGCAAAATGAAGGGATGGCTAGATGACTGTTCTGCAAGCGGAGGTACAAATCAATATGCAACTTCAATTAATTGTTCATATCAATAGGTTGGTGATCTCCTATTCACACATAGCTATGTAAAGTGTGTCCGATTCCAACAAATCAGAACACATTATTTAATATAACTGCATTGCATTATATAACAACCTACCCAAGGTCACTTTTAGATTCTAATGAAACTAATGAAATTGGATAAGCTGGTCAATTTCACAGTTGAGTAAAAATCTATAAATAGTATCATAGGGTAACAAGAAAAGTGCTTATGCAGGTCAAATGGTAAGTGTTGAATGGTTTTCAAGGTAACAAGTTGACCCTTGCAAAAGTTTCTTCGCAAAATATTCTTTTAAGTCATTTTGTATCTTTTAAGGGATATTGTATAAAATATTTTGCAATGTGTGAAAAAAATTTAAGCCTCAGGCTCAATGCAATGTGGCCGATTCATTCCACTCAGGCTACGCATCTTGTGCAAATAAAAACCAAAAAATCTCTACCCTATATCATGACACTGATATCATGTTACGTTAATGAAATTTCCATGTATATCACACAGTTTTGAATTGCTTTGAAACTGTCACACTATTATACCCCCATACTGTATCCTGTATTCCTTTAAAAGAAGTACAGGTTACAGGGAAGTTGCAAATGGAGGACGTTTGTTTATTTCCATAGTTCTGAATGTATACTAGATTTTACACATATTTTAAGTGTTCTACTATACATTGTATAGATTCATCGAGCAGTTTGCAAAGTATTATTACCAGAAAAGCCCAATGGACAAAGATAGAGAATACCCGTTTGCAACTTAACCGTACCCTGTATCATTTTTAAATGTGGTCACGTGATAGGGTAGTGTGACTGTAGCAGCTTAAAGCATTGAAGCTGATAACTTCTCATTCTGTATTTCCATATGACAGGAGGTGATGGTCCGGAAGCTGTAGCGGATGCCCTTCATCAAGTACTAAAGCTGAGCTGGAGGGATGAAGCAACTAAAATATGTGTGTTCATAGCTGATGCTCCCCCACATGGTCTACAAAAGTCTAGAGACGGCTTTCCCAAAGGTATGTGTCCTTTACAAACAGCTGAAAGCAGTACAGTAAAACCTGTATAAGTGTAACACAGTAACCTCTAATTAGTGTTCCACTTTGGAGGTGTTCCACTAACAGAGGTTTATTAATTAGCATTAAGTCAATTGATCATAGGACTCTGAAATCTGTTTCGCTCACAGAGGTGTTCAACTTACTAAGGTGTTCCACCATACAGGTTTTTCTGGAAAAAGTTGCTTTTGATTCATTGATTTATTTTACTCTGCATGTATATTCAAGAGTTTTTTGCCCACATATAAGCATTTAAATGTATTTGTAATTCAAAACAGGTATACCAACATTTATAGTATTTGTCCAGATTTGATTACTCCAACATTTTTAGATTTGATTATTCAACCATCTGTTTACTTTGAGATAGGCTGCCCTGATGGACTAGATCCAATGACAATAACACATCAACTAGCAGAGAAAGGTGTAACAATATATATGGTTGGTTGTGAACCAGCCATCAATAGACACCGGGACTTCTTTATGGCAATAGCCCACTTAACTGGAGGGCAGTATGTACCTCTAAGGAACGCTGAACTTCTTGCTCAGGTAATCAAAATCTCAATGATCTTAAGTGATTGTCCATGCTTTGAAATTTTTACATCAATTTGCAAAAAGATAAAAAATAAAAATGAGTTTAAACCATGTAATTTATGGTTTTGCAGAAAAAGTAGACTTACGTGTTATTTAATAGTACAGTACAAAATAAAGTTTTGTTCTCAGTTATTTGATCTGAATATTCAATTCTGCCAGGTTATAATTGGTGGGGCTCAGGAGGAAATCTCTCTCCAAAAGCTGATGGAGGATGTGAACATTGAGGTTGTTCAAGAGTATGAGGCTGCAGGGGGAGAAGGTGCAATTGATGAGGAGGAGCTGTCTGCTAAGGTGTATAAGAAGATGCAAAGTAAAGGTGGGTTAAAGTGTTTGAGAACATTTACATTGTTTTATTACAATAGACCCATAATAGAATGGTGATAATTCAGGGAGGCCAATAATGTAATGTTTTACCTAGGCCTTCCTAGTTTTTAACAAGTGTAAAATCTTATTGCAAATAAATAAAACTTAACCTTAAAAAAAAAGGTGGTAATTCAAGCTGTCATATGGAGTGAAGGGCAGGAACATCAGTTGAAACTTGAGTTTGAGAAAAAAACATTTTTTAACAATCAATTGTATGGAATAGGTAAACTTTAAAACTAAAAAATATACTTAAAACAAAAACTTTTTTCACAAGTAAAATTGTATATTGAAACAATATGTATTATTTTCTAGGTAAGTATGTTTCATTGAAATTTATGACTTCATATAAAAAAAATAACAGCAGCCCAGAAATTTAAGATTAAAAGAAAATATATGTGCTCGAAACATTGCGATTTATTTTAGGTGCAAAAACGCGACAACTACGGAGCCACAATGCTGCACTGCCAGAAGCCAATATGAAGTCAAAGATGTATTCAAAATTCACAAACATGGATGATCTGAGGATGAACTATGAAGAGGGGAAGGAAGAGGGTGGAATGGGGTATGTATCTATCCAAGCCTCTATTCTTGTGACTGGCATTCAGGGTTTGTGATAACATCTGCATCTGTCACAAAACTTAATATTTTGTTGTCTCAAAATTTCAAAATAATTTGTAAAGAATATTGGTGAATAAGAAATCATCCATGTCAGGCTTGTCTGTTTCTGATTTGGAGGAACTACATCGTACACATTAATTGTAATGATTTTTTACAATCAGTTAATCTTTCACCGAAAATTGCAAAATATATTTCTGGATTTTAAAAATTTCATGTACATGTATATGTATCTTTTCATATCATTAATATGCTTCAATATATGTCGTTGATATTGATACTTGTTTATTTGACCAATCAAGTGCTGAGTGCTTTGATTGTGCACCAGTTCCCATAGCAACAAGTATGATGGAGGAAGCAGAACTCTTCTCAATGGATGATGCATACATGAGTAATGTTGGGAACATAGATGGAATGTCTGCCCCTCCACGCCCTCCCAGAATGTCTGCCCCAGCCCCTAGAGGAAGGGGAGGATCATCAGCACCTCCTCAGGTAAAACTCAATACATAAAGTTACATCTATCATAATATTAGTTTCAGAATTGTGAAGGGTGAACGTCCAAAAAAGCTTCTCTCAGCTTCTCCAGCTGCAGGGAGACCATCCAGTTCTGGTGGTGGAGGGATCATGACAGGGATTTCAAACTTTTCCAAAGCTGCCTCAAAGTCTAAGATGGTGGAAGCAGAGGTAGAAATCGCTGATGGTGATGAGGAAGGGGAGGATGATATTGAATGCACTGATTCAGCTCCTCCCCCATCTGCAGCTTCTAAGGTAGCTTTGGTGTTTAGATGTTTGTTCATTGAGGTCTTCTTTCAGGTTGACACATGTTTTAACAGTTGTGTAAATCATGGTAAAATTGTGTAAATTATTGTATAATCCCCAACCCCTCCCCCATAATAAGAAATTTTTAAATGTTGGTCTGATCCAAATGCTACCAAGATTGGACCAAAAATGTTTGGATTATCACATTTTAAAAAGCTTTTAAATGGGGATGTTATCTACTGGAGGTGTTTGAATATACAGGTTTGACTGTATACAATTTATACATCAATCTTATTCTCATATTTCAGGTGGAAGAAAACTATGGCATGGTAGATCAAAGTCTTGATTACCAACAAACAAAACGAATGGTACAGAGATCTATTGTTACCAGGAAACTAAAGAAGTAACTTTGCATGTACAAAGGTCCATAATGCCTTGGTCACATAGGCTCCGATTTTCACTAAGGCGCCTGGCCGATTGAGTATCCTATTCACAAATGTATTCAGTTTTGAACAGAATACTCAATCGGCCAGGCGCCGGCCGATGAATCGCAGCAAATGTGACCCAGGCATGAGTAGCTACTGTGCCTGTGTGCATGCACAGCGGATGGTACAGAGATCTACAGTGCTGATATATAATAATTAAGGGTGCGTTTTCAAACTAAACAGAGTGCTCCTATCAAAATGAATTTGCCTACATACCCCTGAGACTCTTATCTGATAGATAGAATGCACAAATAAAACAAAAGTTTTGCTATTATAGGTAAAAAGTTCTCTTGAAATTTCGGAGTGATTTTACCTGTTTATTCTGTCCATGGTCCGCCATTTTTGCGGAAGTTACACTGAAACGCAAACTCCATGAAACAAAGCGAAATCACTAGAAAAAACATGGCACACATTGCGCGCATGTGCAGCAAAGTTTAGACCAATCAGATTATTTGATTATTTTGCGCACATGAATTATTTGCTTCTGAGCACTTACAAGCTTACCACAATAAATAAACCTGGCAGAGACTACCCTTAGCCTACTCCATTTTGGCGAAATTTCAGCTCAAACTCGTGACAAATGCATTATACATACGCTGGTGTGAAGCCTTGGAGACACTCATTTTGGTAAATATGATTTATGGGGTATACTTTTCTGCAGTTTGTGGGAGTTTGGAACATTAAATGTTAAAATTCAAGAAAATATGCCAATTAAACGACTGATCAATTAATATATACCAGCACTGTATAGCTATACCACCAAGAAGTAGTATCTTGGCATCGTAGACCAGTCTTGATTACCAACAAACAAAATGGATGATACAGAGGTCTATTGCTTCATACCGATAAACTAAAGTAGTAACTTACATGTACAGAGGTCCATAATGTAGAGAAGTAGTTACTGTGCATGTACAAATGGATGGTACAGAGGACTATAGCTTACAACAGGAATATATATAGTGTTTATTGCATTGCACAATCAATAGATCTCTGTATTTTTACTTTTACTTTTTTGAACTGAATCCGTTATCACCAAGAGAAAGTGTTGTATTGTTATAACCACTCTTTGTTGTAACTTGCACTCATAACAAATTGTTACACTTTTGTTTAAAGTGTTTTACACTTACAAGGTGATCATGTGAAAATATCTTGTTATCTGGCCTTGATTGAACTAATTATATAGTCCAATAAGAAGCTGTAAAGAATTTCTTTGAAATATGGAGTAAATGTTGAAATTGCATAAACTGCTGCTTACAAGTAATGTTGAGTGATGTTACTAATTTTGAAATACAATTATTAGCATATTAGCAATTAGCAATATGCATTAGCATGTACATATTATACATTCCATCATGATAAACACTGTTCTTCATAAGCATGTACATAATAAATGTTTTATGATAAATTGCATACTGTATTTTTAGACATTTCTACATTCTAAGTTTATAATGACTACTTGATAATAAATCTTCTTTTTGAGACTGGCAAAGGACTCATTGCTACAAAAATTATGATTAGAGTCTGTTTCATTAATTTTATGAATACAAAACAGGCAGTAGTTATTTTGTAAATAGTTATTGACACTTAACATTATATAATATATAAATGCAATATTATACCCTGTGCCATATGTCTCTGCCTGTGCCAATGTGTTATTGAAATAAATATAACATTGTTCATTTATACTTACATCTATGGTTTTAAAACTATGTACCGAAAGAATGTTTATCATGTACAATAGAACCTGTATATTTGAAAACCTCTCCAATCCAAATTTGTAACAATGTGATAACTTTGTTTTCTAATATTGACTAGTTTATTTGTTTAACATGGGATCTGGCACTTTTGTTAAATTTCATGAAATTCATCAATTTTAACATCAAAATTTGACCCAATGTAATGGAGATATAACATTGAAACGTTGCGGACTTTATAGTGAATAGAATCAAGATACAGATTTATTTTCTTTATTGGGATTTCTTTTGTTCCCCGCTTAGTCATTAAACAAATATGGGGATTAACATGTAAACCTATGAGGTCCTTAACTTTTTTTGAGGAGTATATGTTTTTATCATTCATTTACTATTTCACGACTTTATATCTTATTTTAGAGATTTATGAAAAAAGTTGTCAGCTTTTTAATTCTCAAATATTCAAATTTCCAGCCCTTGTTCAAATAAAAGTTGATCTTTTAATCATCAATCATTCCACTTTACAGTGTAATTGAGAAAATTGAACAAGACTCACTATTTCAATAATGTGCCACTCAAATATTTTAGAATATTAAAAATGTTTACATTACACGCGTTTACAAGTGACATCACCTTGATACAGTTAAGGTGCTAACATTTTGGAAATAAAATTTTTAAAATCTGTTTCAATCTTCTAAAATTGCTGACCCAGAATAAACCAATGTTGATTGTTCAATTAGGTTGAAAAGAGGAATATTTTGTTTTAAATATTACTCTACCATTGTTTTTTTATGGGAAATAAAATTTTAAAATGCATTTTTCTCTGAACCACTCTGAATGCATGGGTGAGTTCATTTCTCGCTTATTTATCAACCAAGTTTTTTTGACAAAAACACACGTGAGAATGAATGCTACATATTTGTGTGAATCATCGATCGCTTATTTGGAGATCTGCATAACCTTTAAAAATTGATCAAGATGACTTTTTGAAATAAAAAATTCACATATGCCTATATTTTGATAACATAATAAGGTAGAACTACAATGTAAGCCAAACTGGTTGAAACTTTATATGGGGCCTTTTAAACTTGAAAAATCGGTGTCGACGAGTTCTATTTGCATATCAACGTCAAGCCTCTTCAATTTTAACCACACAGAGCCTTGTATGATGATAGAAACGGTCAAACCACATTTTGATGTTATGAAGGGAACCACACTTCCGATAGACGGTTACGCACCAGGAGTCAAGACTATTTGGAGTTTTGACTTACATCAATGTAGGGCCAACACATATTTCAGATTTTTATTAAAGACCCTACTGTAACATGTCCATCTGTGCACCTACTACCTAAACTTCATTGCTAAATACGTCATCCTATACATACCCAGGCCTGAAGGCAGTTTAGGGGGGGGGGGGGGTTAAGTGGCTACGGGCTTGAAATTACCCTATGCCTGGACAGCAAATGCCCAAGAACCAAAAACGATCGTTCATGCGATGTGTTTGATGAAAGATGGCAGATCACAAGGGTGGATTAAGACAGAAACAAACTGATGAATTCAATTTATATTTATATTATCACTGTGTTTATACAAAGATTCAATGTCATTGTGTCTTTACATTTTGCACATTCTTCTCGTACATAATCGTGTTTTAAGTTGCTCGCGATCTTTATGTGTTTTAATCTTGAATCAGCCCATGCATTGCGACACTCCGCTGTCAACGTGCCATCGTATTCATATTTCTTTCTTTTTATGTTCCTGGTTTCTATGCAAATTAAATGAGTCATCGATCTGATTAAACATGAAATATAGTGTGTAGTAGCTTTGAAAACATTCACTAAAAGTGCTATACACACAAATACAATCACACCAAACTCCCTTTAAACCCACCAATCCTTCCTGGTTAGCGCTTTTGACATTCTAAAGTGCATGAACATAATTCAGTTTAATGACTAAGTTGTATGTGATGTATTTCAATTGAACTATCATACTCCAATAGATTGTTGTATTTTCAATAAGTATCATTCGATTCAAGTGATATCATTTTAATCAACGGGATAATATCAAGTGATATGGGTGAATTGATGCCATTTCAAATGAATATCAATAAATATAGAATAACAAACCATTTATCTTATGCCATTTTATCAACGAGCTGATATCAAATGTGAACCGGAATGAGCGAAGCGAGTCTTCGATCTAAAACTGCCACCAATGTTTTAAACAGAAGAAAAAAAGTCTTCGAGTCGACAAATTTATATCTTGAGAAATTATCTGAAATATAAAATCATCCCATGATTACAATCAAATTAGTGTATTTTAAATAGGCTGACCGACTTTTACATAGTACACAATTATCGTTAATATAACATCAATATTACGTAATGATGCTATAATAACACTAATATTGGCAATATGCGTAAATCATAATATTTGTTTGTCTCAGAACCAGTCGTATTGCAGTTATTCTAATATATATAAGATCCTATGTTCATAGAAAAGCAATATAAATACATGTGCATGCAATGTTTTCAAAAGGCGAAAACTACCTGAAATGAAAAAGGGTTTATAACTTCCTTGTTCACTTATTCAGTTTTCAATTTGCATATCTCCATCAATTAATACATTTCTTTGTATTGTTTTCCATTTGAATAGATTATAAGCATTACATTATACGTCATTATTCCGTAATGTATTTATGGTATACATTACCACATCGAGATACAATGCAACTGTAAGAATTTGTTAAAATAAAGATAATACTCCATCAAAGTACACTTTTTGCAAGGGAAGTTACGATACAAAGATTTAAACGAGCATTGTATTGAGTTTTTTATTTTGAAAGTAGTTCACATGCTTGGGTTTCTTCAAATATACGAATTTAAAATGCGCGATGTTGACATCGGTAAAATGACAACTACTGTACATTTACAACGTGATAAGAAACATTCGTTCAATGAAATTGGATAATTCATATTACTCAACATGTTAATCAAACTTGAAATATTCAAGTTCTTACTAGTGGCACTTCATTACATTCCGTGTAGAGGTAAGTCTCATATTTTTATGTCGACGTCACCACCACAAGTGTTGACATATTGTTATAGTCTCAAAACCTTTTTGTGTACGGCGGTTGGTGTTCAGCGGTCGGCGTCTGTAACAAACGGCAGGTGGTGTCATTTTGCAAGTTAATGCCTTGTATAGAACTTTCTCCATCGCTGCAAAACAGATTTACATATCATCATCTAAAATTGATGTTAATAGATGTTGTGTTTATGTGAAATTAAATGTTTAGGACTGTTATTGTTAATGAATATACCAGTGAAAAAACATTCTGTAAATAAATATATGTACCAATGCCTTTACGAGAGATGATTGCATTGAAAACTGTGCAAGGCTGACTGAAAATAATTCCCTGCAAAGCGTTGCATATACATCCGATGACACATCACATATTTTGTTTCTTAGGTGACAGTGTACGCGAATGCAACGTAAATTCAGCGACTGCAACTTGTGATGCTGGGTATATTGAAATTGTTAACATCACATATGGAGTATTAAAGAATCCTCGCAATAGCTGTGCATTGAATAGTGGTGATGATTGTATCATACAGACCTACAAGACATGTGAAGTACGGTCATACAACCACAAGAAATGTCAATTGTTTTATTCGAATCTAACAACTGGTTCAGATTGTACAAAGTCTCAGGGAGCTAAGGAATATGTGGAAATTGGTTTCAATTGCATTACAGGTACCATCTTTCGACTGATTTTTAAAACATATATAAAAACAAGATTATTCCAGTTGTATTAGTAATTAAGTACTCGATTCTACACACATGCGCATTTTACGGAATAGCTAGTAAATGTTGTTTGTTCTGTTTCAGACGTCAAACATGGTTGTCCTGCTAAGGGTATCACCAAAGAGCTTCATATCGTGAACAAAGGTTTTCCATCTGAAACCACAAATCCAGTTCCCACCTGTGTATGCCATGTCAATGCTTCAGTGGATAGTGGTGTCATCAATGTAAACCTCATTGAAGCCGCTGGTTTCTCACAAGAACCATTCACAGAATTCAGCATAATTAATGCTACGGGACATATTAAGAAAGCTATAGATATATCTAAAAGACAACCGGGTAACAAAAAACGGTACTTGGACAAAAGTACATGGGCTAAAGTTATTTTGAAAATAGATTCCAAAATCAACAATATGTATTGGATATCCTTAGAAAGTGAGTGCAATTTTCATTTGAGTTCTTTCACATTCCAATAAGAATATTAGGATTATCGTCGTGCCGTCATCATTATTTATATAACTAGTATTAGTTATCAATGGTATGTTCATTTTAGGCTCTTCGGGATACGATCTGAACTACTCATGTTTTGAATTCCAACAACACTCACAAAGCACAACTACTAGTACTCCAACCTCTCCAATAATCACAGACAGGAAAATCCCTTCAGATGGAAGAGAACCAACTCCTTTTCAAACAAAGGCTATCACCACGCCTTTGGGAACAGAAAGGATGACAACGGAAGTTGACAACAACAAGCCAACCAACGTTGCATTGGCTAATCCGCCACAAGGTGAGAAAACTGAAAATACAATACATGAACACGTTTTTTAAACTAAATTAACTTCACCTGGCGAAATAAAATTTAATTTCATAGAAACGTATTTGAGCCAGGCCACAGGAAAAGGGGTCTTATCACAGAATTTTTCAATATTTTGATTTTTTGTTTATCTTAAAAAGCACAAAGAGACCTTTCCAATGAGCCATGGTTTGTGTTTTAACAATTTTTCCTTGCATTATCAAAAACTTGGATTTGAATGTAGCATATCATTTTCTCTTAATCTTTGGCACATTTTTGGCCCTGTAGCACAATTTTGATTTTTGTGATAAGACCGATTTTCCTATGCCCAGGATCATTTAATATCATACTGCTGCATTTGTCTCTATGCCCATTACATTCATCGATTTCAAATTTCAGGCATACTCGCAGGCACTATTCAGATAGGAATAGTTCTCGGAGCAGCAATATTTACAACAGTAATAGTAGGGATAGTTGTCCTAGTGATATTGTGCAGAAGGTAATTTCTATACTGCTTTCTTAGTTCCATGTCGAAGAAGCAGAAGTTCTTTTTACTTAACTTATACGAGTGTCTTCTTCTTTCGTTAAATTTTTAAGCCAGGTCAGGCTGACTTCGATATCAAACATTTCATTGTTAAAACATACTTAAAACTCCATGAAGTGAAAAGCTTTCTTTTGACGAGACATACATAAATATTACAATTATTCAAGTTAGAGTGAGTATTTGCATAAAGAAATCCAATATGCCAAGGTTCAAAGGAGACATCTTTGTACGGGTCGTGTCATTATAACTCTTATTTTCAGAAAAAAGCGACTCGGTTCGAAAAGCCCCAATCGGGAATCTGAGCACAATGTATACATGAACGATGCTTTTGAGTATGACAAAAACAATGAGAAAGACATAAAGAGAATTGCACCATCGACTCAACACAAGACTAAAAGTGTGACAGATCCCACTTACGATGATCAAAAAGACGGAGATGAAACAAAGGAAATCCGCAATGATAGCAATCCAGAGATCATGGATGATTACAGTACCGTTGAGAATTTACAGACTGGTGATTCACAAAAATCTCAGCCTGTTAATCATTCTGCAGTTTATAATAATGAACAGTTTCATCTTTATGCTAATACACTTTCAAGGGAGAAGCCAAAATTACTCCCGAAACCAGATATAAACTCTGTGCTTCATACAGAGATGTATCGCAAAAATCTCGCGCACGCATTGTTACACATTTTGTGGCGTAATCCAGAGGATCCTCGCTTTTAACATGGTAGAATGTGACGTTTTTGAGAAAAATGTACACAAATGAAAATCCTTTCGTCCTCCACATTTACCTCTCTATCTCAAAACATTTTAGACGAATAACTCTGATATCATATATATATTGTTAATGGGCTAGGAGCATCATAAAACACGAATCAATTGATATTTTAGGTGAAATAAATATACGTGTTGCTGTGCTTGAAAATAGGCGAATGGCGTAAATTAGCCCTATTTTGATGAATTTTGAAAACCTTTCGTCCTCCACTTTTCCACATACAACAGAAAACACATACTTTTGCGAACAAAATCAGTAGTTACAGAAACGAGAGTTCTGACGCACCTTTAACATTGAGTCCTATGGGGAGGGACACGATTTTTCATAGTACCCTCCCTAACATGGGCTCCAATGGGGAGGGACATCTGTGAGCCTCCCTGAGCTCGGGAGGCACATACGGGGACCCCACCCCTCCCCCCTCGGCGTGGTGGCGTGTACATATTTCGGGAATCTCGGGCCCTAAGAGTAACGGACGCCCTACCCCACGACTATACGTTCCGGAAGTTAGCCATTTTGACAGGAAGTCAGCCATTTTGACCGGAAGTCAGCCCGGAAGTCAGCCATTTAACCGGAAGTCGGCCATTTTGAAGCTTTCTAGCAGGAAGTCAGCCATTTTGCATCTGTCTGGGCAAGAGGGTGACATCATAGCGGAAGTGAGGCATCTTTTAGTCGGCCTGGGTAGGTTTTAAAACGGAAGTTAGCCATCTTTTCCCTACCTCCTCCCACTTCCTCCTTACCTCCTCCTTACCTCCCCCCCGCCTCCTCCCTACCTCATCATTACCTCCTCCCTATATCCTCCTTACCTCTTCCCACCTCTTCCTTACCTTCTCCCACCTCCTCTCTACCTCCTCCCGCTTCCTCCTTACCTCCTCCCACCTCCTCCCTACCTCATCATTACCTCCTCCTTACCTCCTCAAACCTCTTCCTTACCTCCTCCCACCTCCTCCCTACCTCCTCCTTACCTCATACCTCCTCCTACTTCCACCCAACCTCCTCCTGTCTCTTCTCCATCTTCCAAACCTCCTCCCCTCCCTTTACTTTAATATTCAATAGTTTATAATGTCATAAATGCCTGTTTATGTTTACAATTGATCTTAATTGACACATTTTGAACCAATCACAATACTGCACATTAGAATATTCTTATATATTTTAAGTTGTCCATGTTTTGAGTCATTTTACTGATAGATCTTGAACAGACAACATGTCTTTCAATTGTTCTGAGTGTAGTGTGAATTTTACGAGAGGTGATAACCTATCAAGGCATATGAATAAGTTTCATGGAGAAAAAATGCATCAGTCTGATGTTATGCTGAAACATCCGTTTACTATGATAGCAGGTATAGGCATGGACATGTTGAAATTAAAAGTCTGATAGGTTTCTAAATATAGAAAGAGAGCATGTCAATTTATTAAAAAAAAATTTTTTTGTTGTATTTTCAGCCGGACCAACATCGTCGGGGAAGACCTGGCTTATGAAGCACTTGATCAAAAATGTTGAACGGTATATATCCCCAATTCCTAGAAGAATCATCTGGTGTTATGGTCAATGGCAGCCTGCCTACGAAGAGCTAAGAAAATACCCACATTTGGAATTTGTGAAGGGAATACCAGAGGATATTGATGATTCAAGATACCTTGACACTTCAGTTCCTACTTTGATACTTCTCGATGATCTTATGAATGAGGCAACAAATGATCAACGGATATGTGATCTCTATAGCAAAGGCAGTCACCATCGAAATCTGTCTGTGATATGCCTACTCCAGAATATGTATCATCAAGGAAAAATGAATAGATCGATGAGCTTAAACTCTCACTATATGATACTGTTTAATAACCCGAGAGATCGCCAACAGGTGGCATTCTTATCGAGGCAGATGTACCCCGGAAATGGAAACAAGTTGGTCAGAGCATATACCAACGCAACTAGTCGACCCTATGGTTACCTGCTTCTTGATCTGAAGCAAGAAACTTCGGAGCACAGCAGATTGAAACCAAATGCCTTTACTAAAAGTGAAGTTGAATTTGAAAGTCATCACGATTCCCGCAACTTCAAGGAACCAATGAATGATTCAAAACACTTACTTGAAAGACAGGGTATTTCAGAAGTTGACTATCCGACGACAACATTTATAAATAGTAGTGATGTTAAGAACTACCCTTACATGGAACGTGAATTTCGAGAAGACAGCATGGTATCCTGTGATGACTGTGGTTTAGTATTTGATAGCATTCACGACTTACAGAGGCATATAAAAAAGTGGTGTCAAGATCAGGGACCACTACCCAAGAGGATGAGGACCCAATCTACCCAAAATATTGAGGAGAAGATTCCTCAAGACAAAGACAATGACGTTGATGACGATGATGGTGATTTGAAAGCAAATGAAACATTTGCATTCTTAAAGAAGTGGTCTATAAGACAGAATGAGGAAGACCACCGACGTAAAGTGGATGAGTATATGGATAGAGGGATGGATAAGACAGAGGCTGTAGAAAAGGCAGATAATAAACTATTGTCAAAGAATAAGGAAGAATTTATGAAAGGATATAAACAATTCGTCAAGCTAACGGTTGATGTAAAAGACAATGCGTTACACAGAAATATAATTGATTCAATAAATAATATGATGAGGAGGGGTGTCTCTGTGAACTTAGCCATTAGGAAGACACTTTTAAAAAACAAACACAAGTTTGATGAGGTCTTTATAGAGGATACAGACCAGGAAAGTAGCTCCGAGGAAGAACAGAGTGAATCCGAAAACGAGGCTGTTGAATCAAGCACTGAGTGATAAATATTAGCAATTTAAAGAGAGATCGTCATTAAGGAGTCAGATTCCGACAGTGTAAGATGGCATATCAAGACTATTTAAAGAAATTATACTTTGACAGTCGAAATTCTGGAGCCTTTGCTGGACCAGACAAACTCTATAGAGCTGTACTAAATGATGGGAAATACCAGCTGTCCCGTTATCAGATAAAGAAATGGCTGGACAATCAAGAAGCTTATGGCCTACAGAGACCTTATAAGAAACGATTCGCTCGTAACAAAGTATATGTCTCGCATATTGACGAACAATGGGATGCAGATCTTATGGATGTCTCTAATATATCATCGCAGAATGACGGGATAAAGTATATCCTGGTTGCGATTGACATTATGTCTCGCTTTGCCTGGGTTAGACCGCTACACTCCAAAACTGGAAAGGCAGTGGCGGAGGCTTTCGATGATATATTGAAAGAAGGTCGACAACCAGATGTCACTAGGACGGACAAAGGTCAAGAATTCCGCGCTAAGGTTGTACAAACATTGTTGAATAGATGGGGAGTCCGCCATTTTGTTACGGGTAATACCCCCAAGGCCAACTATGCAGAAAGATTGATAAAGACGTTAAAGACTAAAATAATGAGGTATATCACGTACAAACAGAACCATAGATTTATAGACAATTTACAAAACTTTGTGAAGAGTTATAACGCCACTTGGCATAGGGGTATAAAAATGGCTCCTAAAAATGTATCTAAAGACGATGAATTGGTTATTTGGTGGCGGATGTATTATCCTAAATCAACTATCGTTAAAACCAAATCTAATCACATCTTTAAATTCCCCATTGGAGCTCTGGTAAGAATTACCCAGTCGAGACATGTTTTTAGTAGAGAATACGACCAACATTGGACAGGGGAAATTTTTAAAGTAACGAAACGTTTTATTAGGCAGGGCCTCCCATTATATCGTTTAAATGATTTTCAAAATGAAGACATTAAGGGTACTTTTTACCAATCGGAGCTTCAAAGAGTACAAGCGAATGAAGATGATATTTGGAAAGTAGAAAAAATCTTGAAAACACGAACTAGACGAGGGCAACGGGAACATTTAGTGCGTTGGCAATATTGGCCAAAAAAGTTTGATTCGTGGGTTAAAGATTCCGATTTAATACCTTTGTAATTTGTGTATGATTCAATGAAGAATTTTGAATGTTATAATGTAAATATGTATTATAGTTGATGTATTTTGAAAAGAAGTGTGTTGACGAATTAGCAAATAAATATTTATCCCAACCAAATGTAACATCCATTAAACGGTATGATCTTAAATCGATGAAGGACGTTACACTAATTAAAGTTGATGGATGGTTGATTGATAATCGATAATCGAGCTAGGTCCGCACTTTAAAGTACAGTCCAGAGTAATTTGTTTCGTAAACTGACAGCTGGATGACCTTAAAACGATAAGACCTCGCGAGTACGAAACGCCTGGTTGATAGGTAATCGATAATCCGCCTGGGCCGCACTTTATAAATAAGGCAGTGACATTTACGACGCGTACTGGTTTATCGATTTATTGTTTTTGGCGGGAATTCGAATAGTATCCTTACAGTAAACGTACAAACGTGGGGTAGGGCGTCCGTTACCTTAGGGCCCGAGATTCCCGAAATATGTACACGCCACCACGCCGAGGGGGGAGGGGTGGGGTCCCCGTATGTGCCTCCCGAGCTCAGGGAGGCTCACAGATGTCCCTCCCCATTGGAGCCCATGTTAGGGAGGGTACTATGAAAAATCGTGTCCCTCCCCATAGGACTCAATGTTAAAGGTGCGTCAGAACTCTCGTTTCTGTAACTACTAAAATCAACTATTTATTAATAAACTAGAGTTTAGGAGCAAAATAATCATGTATGATTTATTAAAAATTGATCTCGTATTTTTTGTTTAATGTACACCTGAAAAGTTGAAGGAACAAAAAAATGGGCAGAAAAGGTCGCTGTCAACAGATTCTATTTTTCAAACTCTATGACGTCACAATATGGGACGCTTACTAAAATTCATCCTTTGAAATAAAACTTCTATCTACCTTTATCAAGACGAAAAATAAGTATAATAGTCATATATTGTTTGAGTTATGAGCGTTTAAAGACGAAAAATAATTCAAAATGTAACGCGTCGACAGGGAATATTTGCCAGATGTTTTGGTAAAAAACTCTTTTTTAAAAAAGAACGCGCAAGAATTGTGAACGGAGTGTAGTTGATCTAAAAACTTCATCGAAACAGCTTTAAAATGATATACAACTTTAATTAGAATATTATTTTAGAATCCGGGGAATCAAAGTTACATTCACGCGATACCCCTAAAAAACAAATGCGCCACCTTTTTGCGACACGTCAGAAGATGGGGAAATGAAGGTGCATGCTGCAAAGGAACCTATTAACCATGTGTTTGATACAGAGACTGGTGAAATACTAGCTGCAAAGGGAATTATCAATAAGAACGAAAGTGGATATAAGCATCCAAAACCCCTCAGTCCAAATAAGGTATGGTTCGCTGATGACAATATGTACGCCTCTGTCAACAAAAAACCAACTGATGTGACAAGTCCACAGGCAAATCCCGGAGTAGAAACCACATATGCAGCCGTTTTACCTAAAAACAATACAGATAAACGTATATCGAACAACGCGACCCCAACCATTGAACATGACGACACATTCCAGCCTGGTCTCCCGGATAAGATGTGGGAAGATGGTACATATGCAGATATTTCTCAACACATGGTTTGAGACACACAATTGACCGGACAGTTTAACTGGAAAGGGGAGGGGATAAGTAAAACATCGATATTTATAATTCACCGTCGCCATTTAATAGAGCATTTATAGTGAGAATGAGGAAGAAAACTAGTAAATAATTCTAGTTTCATCATTTACTCCTTCCCTCATAATCATGAGATGTTGACTGTTTGATAAAGCCCATTCCTTGGGTTTCTATATCAGTTTGATGCATATAATTATATCACACGCTATATATAGCTTTGCACGACTTTGATTCCTTGGTCCCGCTCCTCCTAAATCCTTAGACACAAGTTACATGTAATCAGAAGAAGAAACCTTATTCCTACCTACTGTATGTTCTATTTTCAAGATAAAAATTAATGAAGATAGCACTATGCATAATGCGTCTCTGGTACTTTAGAGACATCAAGTCGTCGCTTATATGTAGAGTTTATCCGAAATAAGGTAAAACTTAAAACTGGGAATTCGTGTTCACCACATACCCGCTCAAAGATAACTGTATATCCAGTGGCGTAGGAACAATGTACGCCAAAACGCCAGTGCGTAGTGTTGAAAAGTGAGAATAAAAAAGAATTTTCCTGTTGTTCTTTAGTCATATTTTCTCATTGATCATAAATTGTAAAAGTAATCTCGAGCACACTAGCCTAAAGAAATGTTTTGTGGATACCATAGCATTAGACACGAAATTATAGTTAAGTCAACAATTATCTATTTTCTTACTAAATCACTAATTGTTATTGGTAGTACTTTTTGAAATATGGATGTTAAAGACAAAAACAACTTGAAAATGCTGATTATTCAATTACACGTTCCATTGATTTCAGTTCTAGAAAAGCGATTACCTATTTTTTTCATTTGAAAAATAATAGATTCTTGTTTTATAACATTTTTGGCACCCCCTAAGTCACGTTGACCTCGATTTGACCTTTGTGGTAGGTGTGTTTATTTGTTTCATTGATCACGAATGCGTTTCTTTATATCAATTGATCAAACTAGTTTCTTTAATCTGTACGTAGTGTATTGCACGGTACACGATGGAATCAGACAATACTATATATCTTAATTCAATTATTCGAAAATGATTAAAAAATCTCTAATTGTTTTTTGGAAATTGGTCGTCTCAATCGTTCGAGACATTTGCAAAGTGAGAATGATTTGTGTCGAGACCTTTCCAAGGTGATTTTAAATGATGAAAATCATTCGTACGTTTTAAAGCACATTAAAAAGGTATCATGGATTTAAAGCTTGCATATAAAATCGAAACGCCAACCTATACGTATGACCAATCGCCCATATAAATGCATCGCTTAAGTATTTCCGTTCACATTTAGGTTGTGAAAAACATTGCAAGCTTAAAATCTGTTACCATAAAATGACGTTTTACAAGCATAATATAGGCGTTTTGATATAGAATATTGACACAATTGTTTCATATTTTTTGGCGGGATTTTTGGCGTAGTGTTGCATTTACACCTTCCTACGCCCCTGATATCAATCTAAAATATCTTTGAAACATGTATTGTATATTAAAGGCAGAATCAGATCTATAGGGGGTGGCAAAATTACAAGCAAGTTTTATAATTGACCTACCAATCTATTCCTTACAATATCAAATACAATATCTCCCAAAAGATTCACAATGTGTTATAAATTGGTGAAGTTATTCATGATTCAAAGTGCAAAAATTGGTGGAAAATGTTTAAATTTCTCAAATAATAAGAATGGTAACCATTCTTATTGAAAAATAATACATTATCGTAAAAATCTTTAAAGAGACATGACAAGGAATGACATGAGCCAAAAACATTCTAAAATTGAGACAATGTTGATTGTTCAATTAGGTTGAAAAGAGGAATATTTTGTTTTAAATATTACTCTACCATTGTTTTTTTATGGGAAATAAAATTTTAAAATGCATTTTTCTCTGAACCACTCTGAATGCATGGGTGAGTTCATTTCTCGCTTGTTTATCAACCAAGTTGTCTTTTGACAAAACACACGTGAGAATGAATGCTACATATATGTGTGACTGTGAATCATCGATCGCTTATTTGGAGATCTGCATAACCTTTAAAAATTGATCAAAATGACTTTTTGAAATAAAAAATTCACATAATAATATGCCTATATTTTGATAACATAAGGTAGAACTACAATGTAAGCCAAACTGGTTGAAACTATATGGGGCCTTTTAAACTTCGGTGTCGACGAGTTCAATTTGCATATCATCAACGTCAAACCTCTCCAACTATAACCACACGGAGCCTTGCATGATGATAGAAACGGTCAAACCACATGTTGATGTTATGAATGGAACCACACTTCCGATAGACGGTTACGCACCAGGAGTTAGACTATTTGGAGTTTTGACTTACATCAATGTAGGGCCAACACATATTTCAGATTTTTATTAAAGACTCTACTATAACAGGTTCATCTGTGCACCTACCACCTACACTTCCGAATGCCTTGCTGAATACTTCATCCTATACTCAGGCCTGGAGCCAGTTTAGGGGGGGGGGGGGTTAAGTGACTACGGGCTTGAATATAACTCTGTGTCTGGACAGCAAATGTCCAAGAACCAAAAAAACAATCGTTCGAGCGATATGTTTGGTGACAGAGGGCAGATCACAAGGGTGGATTAAGACAGACACAAACTGATGAATTCAATTTATATTTATATTATCACTGTGTTTATACAAAGATTCAATGTCATTGTGTTTTTACATTTTGCACATTCTTCTCGTACATAATCGTGTTTTAAGTTGCTCGCGATCTTTATGTGTTTTTATCTTGAATCAGCCCATGCATTGCGACACTCTGCTATCGAAAGTGCCATCGTATTTTATTCTTTCTTTTTATGTTCCTGGTTTCGATGCAAATTAAATGACTCATCGATCTGATTAAACATAAAATATAATGTGTACTTAGGCACCAATCCTTCCTGGTTATATAGCTTATGACATTCTAAAGTGCATGAACATAATTTAATGAGTAACTTGTACGTGATGTATTTCAATTGAACTACCATTACCAATAGACTGTTGTATTTTCAATGATTATCGTTCGATTCAAGTGATACCATTTTTTATCAACGAGATGATATCAAGTGATATGAGTTCACTATACTGATGGCACAACCGAATGTATGGCATTGATAATTAATATGGCATATCAATCCATTTTGAGTGATATCATTTTATGAGCGAAGCGAACGAGTCTTCGAATCGATAAAATTATATCATGAGAATTTTTCTGAAATTTTGGATGAACAGTTTAACATCAAATATTTCGCAAACACAAATATTGGCATTATCATGCATGAATAAATCATAATATTTGTTTATCTCAGAACCAGTCAAATTCAGTTCTTTCAATATCGGATCTTATGTGCATAGAAAAGCAATATAAATACATGCACAATGTTTTCAAAGGGCGAAAACTACCTGAAATGAAAAAGGTTTATAACTTCCTTGTTCACCTATTCAGTTTCCACTTTGCATTCCATACCTTCATAAATTAAGTCATTGAAGTCAAATCATAAATGTTTGAGAGTACTTTGAATTTAAAAAATAAGCAATAAAATGACAAAATTGTAACAGTTTATGTAAAAATAGAAACATTTATATTTATCCTAACTTTTGTATATTTTAGTTTGTTTTGTAGTTTAGTCATTATATCTGTGTCCTCTTATATTTTGATACTTCTCTGCCATGTTATTTTCGGAAAAATTAACATGGCAGAAACTCCCTAAATTACAAAAGGCCACAGCTTTGCTGCACATTATACATTACTATCTGAAATATACAAAAGTTAGGATAAATATAAATGTTTCTACTTTTACATAAACTGTTTCAATTTGGTCATTTTATTGCTTATTTTTTAAATTCAAAGTTCTCTCAAACATTTATGATCTAATTTTAGTAGGTCATTTTTCTAAACATCGTTTGGATTAATTCATTAGCAGTTACATGGCATTATCTCGCCGTGCATTAATTGCATTAATTAACACAATGAAAAACAATGTAATTGTAAGAATTTATGTATATTTTAAGTCTTATGTATGACTGGTATATTTTGTTTATGTATATTTTTTGCCAGGGAAGTCACGACACCATATAAAGGATTTAAACGTCTAGATTTTATTTTTGAGCTTTAGTTCAGTAAACACAGGTTTTGAAAATACTAATTGAATAAATAGGCCTCCTTATAAACATAGGTGAACTAAAAGTACTATATAACAACTAAAACACCACACAAGATACGTAAGACTAGGTGGGAAAGGACGACATTTTTGGCCGTCACGCTAATTCGCAAACATGTTACCTAAAAAAGAAATTATATTTATGTTCTTATTATGGATGCTTCGGAATTCTGAATGTGAAGGTAAGATACTTTTTGAGAACTTGTTTCTATTTTTTGAATAGAGTTGAACTATTCATATAGTAATTCAATGATTTATGGATTCTACACGTGAATTTGTTGAAATATGCCAAAAATAAGAATTATCGTTATTTTGGTTTCAGATAAAGCTACTTTGCGTGGTTGTTCTACAATGAGTACTACAGGCAAAGAGCTTAACATAGTGAACTTCGACTATCCAGATAAAACAACAAATACAATATTCACATGTGAATGTCACATCACGTCAACACCTATAAGTGGGCAAATATATTTTTCTCTTATCCAAGCTGATGGCTTCTCTAAAGAACCATTCACAGAATTTAAAATTCTCAATGCCACTGGCTATGTCAAGAATAATCTAACTTTATCCGACCGATCAGCAGACAGTGAAGTAATATTTACGAGCAAATGGTCTGAAGTGTTCCTGAAAATAGATCATTTGGATTCCACAATCAACAATTCGTATTTCATTTTGTTAAAGAGTGAGTACACCTCAGTTTGTATTGTCAAATAAGTCGCCACTTTATCCTCCTTTCATATGATTTCTTTAATCATCCACCTGCCATTTTTACAATTTCAAAAATATATGATTCATCATGACATAGTTTGGAGGGTGCATTCATTGCAGATTCTGAGGGAAATAATCTGAGATATACATGCTTAGAACATAAAGTCACACAAAGCAAACCTGATCCTACACCACAAATGACCACAGATAAGAATATTTCCTCAATTGCCCAAGAACCAACTCCTCCTCCTCCACAACATGGCATCACGCCCGATGGAACTGAAAGAATGAC